ATTTAAAGAATTTTTATTCAAAGCCTAATATAGGCGTGGATTTTTTAAGGAATATTTTTTTAAGGCTACAACAAGGCGTGCAGTTTACGAAGAATATTTTTTCAAAGCCTGAATTTTTTGAAGAATATTTTTTCAAGACTTGAATTTTTTAAAAAATATTTTTTCATAGAACATCCAAGTCCTGGATTTTTATACCCTTCACCACACTGTTGTACAGGGTATTATGACTTTGTGCATATGTTTGTAACAGGCAAAAGGAAACGAGATAGACACATGGTTCCTTTTGAGAATATGCATAGAATCACTTTCTAAGTCGATTTATGCATGTCCGTCCGTCCGTCTGTCTGTCTGTCCATGTTAAATTGTAAACAAAGTACAGGTCGCATTTACGATCCGAATTGGATGAAATTTGGCATAGGCCACTTATTCGGCCCAAGGACGAACCCTATTGAAATTGGGCACAATCGGTTCAGATTTAGATATAGCTCCCATATATATATTTAACCGATTTAATGTAAACGGTCCCTATATATCTTTCGATTTGCACGAAATTTGGTACAGCCTAATCATTTAGGCCTAGAATGATGTCTGCCAAGTTTCGTGAAAATCGGTCCAGATTTAGATATAGCTCACATATATAGTTTCGTCCGATTTCATGTAAATGGTGCACCGTCGTTCCTATATATGCTTCGATTTGCACGAAATTTGACATAAAGTACTTAATTAAGCCTAGAATGATGTCTGCCAAGATTCATGAAAATCGGTCCTGATTTAGATATAGCTCCCATATATAGTTTCGTCCGATTTCAGGTAAATGGTACCCCAGTGTCCCTATATATCTTTCGATTTGAATGAAATTTGGTATAACGTACTGAATTGAGCCTAGAATGATGTATGCCAAGTTTCGAGAAAATCGGTCCAGATTTAGATATAGCTCCCATATATAGTTTCGTCCGATTTCATGTAAATGTGCACCAAAGTCCCTATATATCTTTCGATTTGCACGAAATTTGGCATAACGTACTGAATTGAGCCTAGAGTGATGTCTGCCAAATTTCTTGAAAATCGGTTCAGATTTAGATATAGCTCACATATATAGTTTCGTCCGATTTCATGTAAATGGTGCACCAAAGTCCCTAAATATCTTTTGATTTGCACGAAATTTGACATAACGTACTGAATTGAGCCAGAATGATGTCTGCCAAGTTTCGTGAAAATCGGTATAGATTTAGATATAGCTCCCATATATAGTTTCGTCCGATTTCATGTAAATGGTGCACCAAAGTCCCTATATATATTTCGATTTGCACGAAATTTGGCATAACGTACTGAATTGATGCTGGAATGATGTGTGCTGAGTTTCATGAAAATCGATTCAGATCTAGATATATATATTTTCGTCCGATTTAATCTAAATAATGTACCAAGTTCTTATGTTGCATAGCGCTTTGAATTTAATCCAGAATGATGTGTGCCAAGTTTAGTGAAAATCGGTTGAGATTTAGATATTGCTCCCTTAAATTATAGATTGTTTTTAAGTAATTGACGCACCAAGGAACCAATATATGGCTGATAGGAACAAAACGTACTGAAATTAGTATAACCTAACCTGTGACAAGTTTCGTTGAAATCGGTTCATATTTGGATATAGCATCCATATATAAGTAAATTGTGCATCAAACTCCTCATATTTGTTAGATTGACATCAAACTTTGCACAACGTACAAAATTGAGCATAGAATAACGTAGTTGGGTTTTCTAGAAGTACAGACCTAGCCCAACGGATGACCTATTGATATTTGTTTGAAGTCGATTAACATACTTTTGTTCCATTGTAACAAACGAATGATATGTTTATGGGTAGATCTAGGTCGTTTCACATTTAGATAAATATCACATATTTTATTTCATACAATTTCATGATTATAGTCCTGTTTAATATACCCATAGTGGTGAAGGGTATCATATAGTCGGCCCCGTCCGACTTTACTACTTTCCTTACTGGTTTTATTTTATTACACAGATTAAAAATAGATCAGATTTTAGCAAATACGTACAGGTTCCACATTTAGTTTCATTTAGCACTTTTCGAACACATAAGTACACATTTTTAAGACTACCTCCATACCATCACTTCCACTAAATTTAGTACCAGTTACTTCCAAAACGACCTTGGTACTTCTTTCTAACTCTCCGTCAGTCACTCACAATCTAAATTTTAGATTTCCAGCTCTCACCGTTACCCAAATCCAAATTTAGTGCATTTTCTATTCTATTTACTATTCGTACACAAGAATTTGATTTTCCAAAGTGGTATCCATAACTCGATACTACTCTTTAACAATAATCTAAATTCCAAAACTCTGGGTTCAACCAAATCCAAATTTAGTACCATTTAGTACTTTTCATACTCCTAAGTAAGAATTTCTAAGACTACATCAATCCTACACTCTAACAATAATCTTAATTCGACCAAAGTCCAAATTGTACAAAATTTAGAACTTTTCGTACTAATAAGTACACATTTTCAAATGTACCTCAATCCTGCTTTCAAATAGTAATCGAAAGTCCAAATTTAAGAATTCCAGCTCTGTCTGTTCATTAAAAAAATAAACAAATTATACCAGATTTGGTACCATTCTGTACTTTTTGTACCCATATTCCAAACCTATCTCAACATTCCAAACCTGCTTTCAAATAGCAATCGTAAATTCAAAATCAGCTCTTTCTGTTCTCCAAATTGTACTAGATTTGGTACCATTCTGTACTTTTCCTCCACTCCCACAGTAACCCAAGTGGCAACTTTCAGAATTCGAGTTCTAACCGTTCACACAAGTCCAAATTGTACCATATTTTGTGCTTTTCGTACCCATAAGTACGAATTTTCAAAACTACCTCAGTCATGCACTCCAATAATAACATTAAGTGCATATTTAGGTATCCCAGCTCTATCCGATCGCCTACATCCAAATTGTATCAAATGTAGTACCATTTATTACTTTTCGTAGACGTTAGTACGAGTTTCTAAAACTTCTCAATTTCACACTCCAAAACCATTTTTAATGACAAATTTAAAGGATCCCAGCCCTATCCGTTCACATAGATCCAAATTGTACCATATTTAGTACTTTTCGTACTTATGAGTTCGAAGTAAGATTTAGTACACATAATTACGCATTTTTAAAACTAACTCCATGTCTCATCCTATAATCCAATCCTTAATTTTAATTCCAAATTTTTTGATTAACGCTCACACAAAACGAATTGTACCATATTTAGTACCATTTAGTGCTTCTCATATCCATAAGAACCTAATTCCATTACTACCTTAATTCTGTAGTCTTTCATTCCAAATTTAAGTTTTCCATCTCTATCCGTTCACTCAAATCTAAATTGTACCAAATTTAGTACCATTTAGTACACGTATTACGAATGTTCAAAACTAACGAATTCAAAATTTCAAGATCTCAGCCTTATCCGTTCACACAAAAACAATTTGTAAACCATTTGGTACCAGTTATTACTTTTTTCCTACACTCCAACAGTAATTTAAATTTGAAAATTCTGGAGTCCAGCTCTATCCGTTCACACATAATTAAGTTGTACCAAATATACTACCATTTAGTACACATAAGTACTATGCTTCAATATCTCAATTCTATATTCCAACAGCAACCATTATTCCAAATTTTAGGTTTCCAGATCTCTCCGTTTACCCAAATCCAAATTGTACCAAATTTAGTACCGTTTAGTACTTTTCGTACACATCAATACGAATTTCCAAAGGTGTGTCTATAGCTCAATCTTCAACAGTATCTTAATTCCAAATTTCAGTTTTTCAGCTCTATCCTTTCAAGCAAAATCCAAATTGTACTAAATTTAGTACCATATAGAACTTTTCATACCAGTAAGTACGAATTTCTTAAACTACCTTAATCCTACACTCCAACAGCCATTTTAATTCTGAATTTGAAGACTCCAGCTCTATCCGTGCACCAAATTTAGTACCATTTTGTACATTTCGTACACATAAGAACGATTTTTTAATGCTACCTTAATCTTGTACTCCAATAGTAATCCCAATTCCTATTTTCAGCATTCCATCCCTATACACTCAACTAAATGCAAATAGTACCAAATTAAGTACCATTTTGTACTTTTTATACACATAAGTAGGAATGTCTTAAACCATTTACATGTCTTAAACCATTAAACCATCAACATTACTTCCCAATCTGTATTCTACATACAATTTCAAGATTCTAGCTATATATGTACAATATATATACAATTAGAACTAAATTTAGTAAATTTTAGTACTTTTAGTACACTTATAGGTCGAATTTCCAAAAACTCTTTAGCACTATTTCTAACTTCCCATCAGTGACCCACATTCCAAATTTCAGAATTCTAGCTCTTCCCGTTTGCCTAATACAAAGGGTACCATATTTTGTACATTTTAGTACTTTTCGTACCCTTCTAGTTCGAATTTTCAAAAAACCCACGCCTACACACCAACCAATTTCAAGCTTCTAGCTTCTGCCGTTTCGTCTGGGTGATGATCTGTCAGTCACTCACTCACTCACTTAACACTAAGCTCTTTTATATATTAAGATAATTATGATGGCTCAATTGTTGGCCCCGGTGGCCTTTCTAAGTAATAAGCCCAACAAAATTGGCGAGGACCTAGGCTCTACAATGCCTGTGTTCCACTCGTAATTGCAATCGTATAGAGTCCGGAGATCATTATTAATATAGTAGGTTGAATTTATTTACAATACACCTCCCGGCTTTCCGGACGTTGTATCCACCAATCAAAAATGGTTTATTACCAATCGAACAATGATGAAGTAACTATGAAAATAAGTTTTGTATGACAAGATCAAAAAATATTTTTTTATTCAAAAATTATATACAAATTAAATAATTTCTTTATAATATAAAATAAATAACTTAAACACTAATTTCATTTAATTATATTTTTCTAAAAACTTTCCTCCTCAGCACATAATTTTGGGTGCTATCTTCTTGATTTGATGATTTTCACCAACTTTCATAACAGCTATCATACCCTCCAGGGCATGTCGCTCAATGTGACAATGCATTGTCCAAAATCCGGGATTATCACTAATGAAACGTATGATAATATAACCCAAGGGCGGCACCTGTATGGTATCCTTTTCAACGGCAGGGAAATTGTCTGGGACACGTTTCAACAGGCCACGGCGATCAAGTTCTTGGATCTGAAATAAAAACAAAAATTATTTTGTAGAGGTCTATCTATCTAAAGTATCAACAGAGGCGTGGATTTTTTAAAGAATATTTTTCGAGGCCTAGAGAAGACGCGGATTTTTTAAAGAATATTTTTTCAATGCCAAGAATAGGCGTGGTTTTTTTAAAGAATATTTTTCAAGAGTTATTCAAGGCGTGGATTTTTCAAGGGTTATCCAAAACGTGGATTTTTTAAAGAATATTTTTTCAAGGCCTAAAATAGGCGTGGATTTTTTAAAGAATATTTTTCAAGAGTTATTCAAGGCGTGGATTTTTCAAGGGTTATCCAAAACGTGGATTTTTTAAAGAATATTTTTTCAAGGCCTAAAATAGGCGTGGATTTTTTAAAGAATATTTTTTCAAGGCCTAAAATAGGCGTGGATTTTTTAAAGAATATTTTTTCAAGGCCTAAAATAGGCGTGGATTTTTTAAAGAATATTTTTTCAAGGCCTAAAATAGGCGTGGTTTTTTTAAAGAATATTTTTTCAAGGCCTAAAATAGGCGTGGATTTTTTAAAGAATATTTTTCAAGGGTTATCCAAAACGTGGATTTTTTAAAGAATATTTTTTCAAGGCCTAAAATAGGCGTGGATTTTTTAAAGAATATTTTTTCAAGGCCTAAAATAGGCGTGGATTTTTTAAAGAATATTTTTTCAAGGCCTAAAATAGGCGTGGATTTTTTAAAGAATATTTTTTCAAGGCCTAAAATAGGCGTGAATATTTTTCCAAAGCCTAAAATAGGCGTGGAACTTTTAAAGGATATTTTTTCAAGGCCTAAAATAGGCGTGGAACTTTTAAAGGATATTTTTTCAAGGCCTAAAATAGGCGTGGATTTTTTAAAGAATATTTTTTCAAGGCCTAAAATAGGCGTGGATTTTTTAAAGAATATTTTTTCAAGGCCTAAAATAGGCGTGGATTTTTTAAAGAATATTTTTTCAAGGCCTAAAATAGGCGTGGTTTTTTTAAAGAATATTTTTTCAAGGCCTAAAATAGGCGTGGATTTTTTAAAGAATATTTTTCAAGGGTTATCCAAAACGTGGATTTTTTAAAGAATATTTTTTCAAGGCCTAAAATAGGCGTGGATTTTTTAAAGAATATTTTTTCAAGGCCTAAAATAGGCGTGGATTTATTAAAGAATATTTTTCAAGGCCTAGAATAGGCGTGGATTTATTAAAGAATATTTTTTCAAGGCCTAAAATAGGCGTGGATTTTTTAAAGAATATTTGTCAAGGCCTAGAATAGGCGTGGATTTTTTAAAGAATATTTTTTCAAGAGCTATCCTAGGCGTGGATTTTTTAAAGAATATTTTTTCAAGGGCTATCCTAGGCGTGGATTTTTTAAAGAATATTTTTTCAAGGGCTATCCTAGGCGTGGATTGTTTAAAGAACATTTAAAGAACATTTTTATGAGAACCTTTAGACCAGAAGGCGTGGATTTTTAAAGAACATTTTTATGAGAACCTTTAGACCAGAAGTCGTGGATTTTTAAAGAACATTTTTATGAGAACCTTTAGACCAGAAGGCGTGGATTTATAAAGAACATTTTTAGGGGAACCTTTAGACCAGAAGGCGTGGATTTTTAAAGAACATTTTTAGGGGAACCTTTAGACCAGAAGGCGTGGATTTATAAAGAACATTTTTATGAGAACCTTTAGACCAGAAGGCGTGGATTTTTAAAGAACATTTTTATGAGAACCTTTAGACCAGAAGGCGTGGATTTTTAAAGAACATTTTTATGAGAACCTTTAGACCAGAAGGCGTGGATTTTTAAAGAACATTTTTATGAGAACCTTTAGACCAGAAGGCGTGGATTTTTAAAGAACATTTTTATAAGAACCTTTAGACCAGAAGGCGTGGATTTTTAAAGAACATTTTTATGAGAACCTTTAGACCAGAAGGCGTGGATTTTTAAAGAACATTTTTATGAGAACCTTTAGACCAGAAGGCGTGGATTTTTAAAGAACAAAACGTGGATTTATAAAGAACATTTTTAGGGGAACCTTTAGACCAGAAGGCGTGGATTTATAAAGAACATTTTTAGGGGAACCTTTAGACCAGAAGGCGTGGATTTATAAAGAACATTTTTAGGGGAACCTTTAGACCAGAAGGCGTGGATTTATAAAGAACATTTTTATGAGAACCTTTAGAACGATGGACATAAATTTTTAGAGAGCATTTTTATGAGAACCTTTAGAACGATGGACATAAATTTTTAGAGAGCATTTTTATGAGAACCTTTAGAACGATGACCATAAATTTTTAGAGAGCATTTTTATGAGAACCTTTAGGCCGATAGCCGTACATTTTTAAAGAGCATTTTATGAGAACCCTTGCCATCAATAAATATGGATTTTAGTGAGGACCTTATGACCAAAAAGCGCGGATTTTTTAAAATTTTTTTTTCAGAAACTTGAGACCAATGAATATGCATTTTTATAAAACTTTATAAGGACCTTGAAGGTAGCCTATGAATCGCCTCGTTTATAGAATTGTAAAAAAAATTAAGTTTCTACTTACATTTCTCAAATCATTAATATTCCCCACGATATCCTGTCCCACCAAACGGAACGTATAACCATGCGAATGGAATGGGTGGGTCGTATTCATATAATTCGCCACGACCATTTCAATGGGCTTATACGCTGGAATTCGAATAACATTCGTACACTCACAATTGGTGCGACGACAATTGATGCCAGCCAAATAGAAAGCGGTACGATTACAAAAATAGTTGTCATCATTGAAGAGGTGTCTGCCCTGCAGCAGTGACACCGTAGGATAGGCAAAAGTGATATCATCCACCTGCAGATAGGCATCGTTGTCCAATTGCAACACACCAAAGCTGGTATAATATGTTCGGAATTTCGTATACGCCGGCCACGGTAGGGGGTTCAGAGACTGCAAACCCAACGTGGGTACATCCGAACGCTCACGCTTACGATCGGGTGTTATTAGCTCGGCCATTACATTTACACCTATTTCGGATTTTGCGGATAAGGCCTTTGGCACGGCATTTACATCTTCGGTTATTTGTCGTTCGGGTAGACGGCTGCGAGAAGATCCTCGATAATGGAGAACTGCTCCTTGATATAGATTCAGATTTTCACAATCATTATAGCCCTTGACACGAATCCAATAATTGCCAGGATATTGATTGGCCTGAAGAATGAAATCAAACCGCTCCGCCGATGTCATAAAGAATTTATCCGCATAGACAGGTTGCAGATCATTACCATCTGTGGAAATCATTAGCATACGATGATTTTCAATGGAAAATTCCAGGGGACAATTGAAGACCCCATTACTAATGACACGCATACGATAACGCATGCCGGGAGAAACGTTAAGACGCTCGTAACGATGTCGGGAATCATTGTCCGCCCAGGAGTTGAGATGATTCCTACCCTTGCCATTGATGACAATGTTCCTTGGCCTGGTCATATCGGCATTATAGACAATATCCTGAATAACCAAAGTGTGTTCGATCAGATCATAATCATATAAATTGGCATGGCGATTATTTTCCTTGGTCTGGCGGATAACCAGAGATCCTGCCACACCCCTGGCTCTTTGGGCTCCATAATGGCTGTGATACCAATTGCTGCCACTACGATCCACCGGGAAGGTATAACGCTGTACCTCACCCGGTGATATTGGATATTGGGTGATATAGGGTGCCCCATCCATATCGGGTGTTTGGGACATGTGGACCCCATGCCAGTGGATGGTCGATTCTTCGGTCAGGTAATTAATGACATCGGCCACAATCGTGTCTCCTTCACATACCTCCAGTGGGGGAGCAGGCCATTGACGATTTACAGCCATTATTTCATTGGGTACACCATCACCATAGATACATTTTTCCGCTTCGCAGGTGGCCGGTTCATAGATACAACGTTGGCATTCCTGGCCCAGGGTCTGATAGTTATGGACGATGAGGCGATAATAGCAGGTCATAGACTTGCCCTGTTGACACACTCTACGGCAGGGATGGCGATCAAAGCTACCAAAACTACCTTCATCTGCAACCACAGGAGGATCATTATAGCCACCAGGGGCTGCCAAGGGTTGGCCACCACCGGCACCACCGAACACGTTATTAAAACCCCAATAGAGCTTGGTCATATTTGAAACACCCAAGTTCGCAGGTAAGCCTGCTACTTTCTTTTGAGATTTCAAATCATTGGAAGATTCCTCCACTTTCTCCGGTTCCTCGGCATCCAAACCCAAGACAATTGGGCCCTTAATGGGCTCCTCTGCCACCACCTGGTCCTTAATATCCACAATAGAATTTGTATCCTCTTTGGATGTTATTGCCACCACCGTGGACGGCAGAATCAATGACATTATCAGCAGCAACACTCCCACACATTTCCATTTCCAAAATTTCATTTTCAATTCGATTTATTTTTAATTCACTTCGTTTTTAATTTCTCTCACTTTTACTTTTCAATTCAATCAGTTTTTTTATTTTATTATTCAAAATTTTATTCAATTTTGTTTTCAATTTCTTTCAACCGTCGGCTTTAAGTTCAAGTCGACAACTGATTATGGCTTCGATCTGCAAGTAACGAAGAAAGTTTAACGGCCCACCCCCAAGACCGTCAGGTCTTGTTGTGGTCATCATCATAACTCATTTGTATGCCGGTTGGAGTACGGCAAATCACAACGTTCCATTAATTGTGATCGGCATTTTTAATCACTTTTTGATTTGCTATTGATTAAGCCTTGTTTGTGGTCACGTTCTTCTTCTTCTTCTTCTTCTTGGTATTTTTTGCAGTACATCCCAACCCCACTGGAGTAAATCAAACAGTCATTGGCATTACAATTTTAAATTGTGTTTAAAATTGGTAATTATATTAAAGGAAAATATTGAAATCAATTAGTTTTTGGTTCAATGGCAAACAATAATTTCAAAGCATACTTTTAGGCGCTTAGTGAGTAAAGGGACAATTTATAATGAAAACAATGTCTAGATTAGTCGGGAATTTTTTATGGAATATTTTTTCAGGCACTAAAAGAGGCGTGGATTTTTAAAAGAATATTTTTTCAAGCACTAAAAGAGGCGTGGATTTTTTAAAGAATATTTTTCAAGGGCTATCCTAGGCGTGGATTTTTTGAAGAATATTTTTCAAGAGCTATCCTAGGCGTGGATTCTTTAAAGAATATTTTTTCAAGGGCTATCCAAGGCGTGGATTTTTTAATGAATATTTTTTCAAGGGCTATCCTAGGCGTGGATGTTTTAAAGAATATTTTTTCAAGGGCTATCCTAGGCGTGGATTTTTTAAAGAATATTTTTTCAAGGGCTATCCATGGCGTCGATTTTTTAAATAATATTTTTTCAAGGGCTATCCAAGGCGTGGATTTTTTAAATAATATTTTTTCAGGCACTATTCAAGGCGTGGATTTTTTAAAGAATATTTTTTCAGGCACTATTCAAGGCGTGGATTTTTTAAAGAATATTTTTTCAAGGGCTATCCTAGGCGTGGATTTTTTAAAGAATATTTTTTCAAGGGCTATCCTAGGCGTGGATTTTTTAAAGAATATTTTTTCAAGGGCTATCCTAGGCGTGGATTTTTTGAAGAATATTTTTCAAGGGCTATCCTAGGCGTGGATTTTTTGAAGAATATTTTTTGAAGCACTAAAAGAGGCGTGGATTTTTAAAAGAATATTTTTTTGAAGCACTAAAAGAGGCGTGGATTTTTTACAGAATATTTTTTTGAAGCACTAAAAGAGGGGTGGATTTTTTACAGAATATTTTTTTGAAGCACTAAAAGAGGCGTGGATTTTTTACAGAATATTTTTTTGAAGCACTAAAAGAGGCGTGGATTTTTTACAGAATATTTTTTCAAGGGCTATCCTAGGCGTGGATTTTTTAAAGAATATTTTTTCAAGGGCTATCCAAGGCGTGGATTTTTTAATGAATATTTTTTCAAGGGCTATCCTAGGCGTGAATTTTTTAAAGAATATTTTTTCAAGGGCTATCCTAGGCGTGGATTTTTTAAAGAATATTTTTTCAAGGGCTATCCATGGCGTCGATTTTTTAAATAATATTTTTTCAAGGGCTATCCAAGGCGTGGATTTTTTAAATAATATTTTTTCAGGCACTATTCAAGGCGTGGATTTTTTAAATAATATTTTTTCAGGCACTATTCAAGGCGTGGATTTTTTAAATAATATTTTTCAGGCACTATTCAAGGCGTGGATTTTTTAAATAATATTTTTTCAGGCACTATTCAAGGCGTGGATTTTTTAAAGAATATTTTTTCAAGGGCTATCCTAGGCGTGGATTTTTTAAAGAATATTTTTTCAGGGCTATCCTAGGCGTGGATTTTTTAAAGAATATTTTTTCAAGGGCTATCCTAGGCGTGGATTTTTTAAAGAATATCTTTTCAAGGGCTATCCTAGGCGTGGATTTTTTAAAGAATATTTTTTCAAGGGCTCTCCTAGGCGTGGATTTTTTAAAGAATATTTTTTCAAGGGCTATCCTAGGCGTGGATTTTTTAAAGAATATTTTTTCAAGGGCTATCCTAGGCGTGGATTTTTTAAAGAATATTTTTTCAAGGGCTATCCTAGGAGTGGATTTTTTATAAAATATTTTTTTAAAGACCATCCAAGGCATGGATTTTTTAAAGAATATTTTTTCAGAGACTATCCAAGGCATGGATTTTTCAAAAAATATTTTTTCAGGGGCTATCCAAGGCCTGGATTTTCTATTCGAAAAAAAAAAATCGTTAGTAAATCCACGCCTTTTTTTGGTCCATGAAAAAATATTCTTTAACATATCCACGCCTTTGTTTGAACTTAACATATTTTTTTAAATCACGCCTGGATTATGCCTTGAAAACATATTTCCCAAAAATGTAAAAATCCACATTTTCCCCATCATCGCTTGGACCCTCGACTTATTTGTTCTCTTAATCTTCATCTCTTTCAAATCAAACATTAATCTTAACCACACATCTCTTGATTCTAATAATAACAGAGATTAATATTAAAAAAATAATTTGTGTGGTTATTCTTATCAGTTATTGGTCAGACTCTTACCCAGCCGGACGTGTTGAGAAAAAAAATCAAATAATTGCACCTAAAAAGTGACATTTATTTTTTTAAGGAACAAGAAGAAGATCAAAGCATAACAATGAAATTCCAGGAATTCATAATGAGCTGGATCATTATGTTATTAGTTCACAGTATTTGTTTAGTCTGTGGCCAAAGAAATGTTGTGGCGCCCAACGGCTATAAAAGTAAGTTGTGAAGAAAACTTGGAGAAATAAAGCCTGGATTATTAAATATATGGATAAGTTGAGGTTTGACAAAAATCATATACCTTAAAAAAATCCAGGCCTTACTGGGATCCCGAAAAATCCTTAAAAAATTAGGTCTTGCTGGGATCCTGAGAAATCCTTACAGTATTTAGGCATTGCTGTGCTCCTGAAAATATTCTTTAAAAAATCCAGGAATTGCTGGGCTCCTGAAAAATATTCTTTGAAAAAAAACACGTCCTTCTGGGCTCTTGAAATATATTCTTTTCAAAATCTACTCCCTTCTGGGCTCCTGAATTTTTGTTTCTTACATATGTTTTCCTCCTATTTTTAGACTGCATAACCCCCGACTATAACCAAGGATATTGCGTTCCCATGGCCAAATGTCGACGCATTGAATGGCTGGTGGAAAATTGGTCACCACCCTATCCGGAGCATATAACCCGTTTCATACGACAAAGTCATTGTGGTTCACGCGCAAATGTGGTTGGTATTGCAATATTACAATTGAGGCAATTAACGAACAATGAATAACGACTAACAACAATAACAATAGCCAAACAATGAATGTCAAATTTTAAAATAAACACAAGCTTTCTATTTTTTTTTTTCAAATTTATTTTATTTGTTTGCAGCATTACGCCTGCTGCGCCTTCTATGATGTCAACGATATCAGCCTACAGCAACAACATCTGCATTTACATCACCATCATTCACCGCTACCGGCTCCAATCCAACTGCCCAAACCTTCACCTTCGCCATCGATGGTCCATAATCCTCATTATCCTTATCATAGTGGATCACAGGCGATGACAAATGGCGGTGGTGCGGCCGCTGCAATTGCACCACCACGTTTTCATCATCGTCCCATGGTAAATTATTTACAAGAGCCGGTGGGCGAAAGGATTCTACGTTCAATGCCATGTGGTCATTTGAATGGTGATCGTATTGCGAATGGTGAAATTGTACGTCTATCCGAATTTCCATGGATGGTATTGTTGGAATCGAAGGGTAGCAAAAAGACGCGACAACGTTTCCGATGTGCCGGTACCTTGATAACCAATCAATATGTCCTGACCGCCGGGCATTGTGTGGAGGCAAGGAATGAAGTGTAAGTAGGGCTTGACAAAAAAACATATTCTTTAAAAAATCCATGCCTTGCTGGAATCCAGAAAAATCCTTAAAAATTTAGGCCTTACTGGGATCCTGAGAAATACTTACAAAATCTAGGCCTTGCTGGGCTCCTGAAAAATATTCTTTAAGAAATCCAGGACTTGCTGGACTCCTGAAAAATATTCTTTAAAAAATCCCCGCCTATAGAGGGCTTTTAAAAAATCCCCGCCTATAGAGGGCCTTTATAAAATCCCCGCCATTCTGGGCTCCTTAAAGATATTCTTTAAAAAATCCCCGCCTATGGATGGCCTTTAAAAAATATTCTTTATAAAATCCCCGCCATTCTGGGCTCCTGAAAGATATTCTCCCGTCTATGGATGGCCTTTAAAAAATATTCTGTAAAAAATCCGAGCCTATGTATGGCCTTTAAAAATATTCTTTAAAAAAATCACGCCTATTGATGGCCACTAAAAATATTCCACGCCTTTCTGGGCTGCTGAAAAATATTCCTTAAAAACCCCCGCCTTCCTGGGCTACCGTCTATGGATGGCCTTTAAAAAATATTCTTGAAAAAATCCACGGCTATGGATGGCCTTTAAAAAATATTCTTGAAAAAATCCACGCCTATGGATGGCCTTTAAAAAATATTCTTGAAAAAATCCTCGCCTATGGATGGCCTTTAAAAAATATTCTTGAAAAAATCCACGCCTATGGATGACCTTTAAAAAATATTCTTGAAAAAATCCTCGCCTATGGATGGCCTTTAAAAAATATTCTTTAAAAAAACCACGCCTATGGACGGCCTTTAAAAAATCCACGCCTATGGATGGCCTTTAAAAAATATTCTTTAAAAAATCCACGCCTATGGATGGCCTTTAAAAAAAATTCTTTAAAAAATCCACGCCTATGGATGGCCTTTAAAAAAAATCTTTAAAAAATCCACGCCTATGGATGGCCTTTAAAAAATATTCTTGAAAGAATCCACGCCTATGGATGGCCTTTAAAAAAAATCTTGAAAAAATCCACGCCTATGGATGGCCTTTAAAAAATATTCTTGAAAAAATCCACACCTATGGATGGCCTTTAAAATATTCTTTAAAAAATACATTTTTCCAATTTAGCTTCTCCGTTCGCCTGGGTGAACATAACCTCAAAACGGAACGTGACTGTGAAAATCGCAAATCCAGCCGTAAATGGAATTGTGCCCCTCCGCATGAAGATGTGAAAATCGAAAATGTCATTCTACATCCAAATTACAAATTACATCCCATACAAAATGATATAGCCCTGATACGCCTACAGAGACCTGTGGAATTTAATAGTAAGTACGCAGCATAATCTCAAGAATTATAACTAAAATATGTCATTATAGCCCACATTAAGCCCATATGTTTGCCATTGGATCCACACGTTAAGCCACAAATACAATCCGAACAAATTGTGGCCGGTTGGGGTGTGACAGAGAAAGGTATTATCCCCTCAAGAAAGTTTTTAATATTTTCTAACCCCCCTGTTTGATCGCTTACAGGTTCTGCCTCGGACATCCTGCTCAAGGCTCCCATAGTTCTAAAAAATCTTGACATTTGTCAACGTGTTTATCGTCAGAATCCCATAACGGCGGAACAATTCCTGTGTGCCGGAGGTGGCTTGGATAAACGTGGCACATGTCGTGCCGATTCTGGAGGACCCCTTTTTGCTGCCATCCCCTATGAACACAACCATCTACGCTATGTCCAATTTGGTATAACATCCGGTGGTGGTTATGGCTGTGGTGGCCAAAATAACTATCCCGGCATTTATACAAATATTCGCAGTTATATAACTTGGATAATTAGTAACATATTTTAAAAACGACAACAGTGGCAACAACAACAACCCACATCATATGATGTATAATTCTAAATGAAAGGAAATGCGATTAAGTTATTGTGATGAAATCTAAGCTGGAAAAAAGTATTTGACCACGGTATAAAAAATTAGTTTTAATTGAATTACGTCGACATGTGATTATGTTTTTGTTGTCGGTTTTTTTGGAGATTGAGAGATGATTATTTTCACAATTAGAATTTTGGTTTAATTAAATAAATATAATTATATAGAAATGTACACAAAAAAACACACCCACGCATACATTTTGTGTCAGATTTTTCACACTTGATAGTTTCGACGAGCGGCAAATGGTGTCAAATGGTTTTCATGCGACCCCATTCATGTTGCCAGACATCACGAAATCAAAAATTGTTTGGAATTTTTAATTCACGTACATATAGTCACGTGTGATTAATAACACAGAGCAACAAATTGTTTGGATAATCCCTGAAATTTTTTTTAAATCCACGCCTTGGATAGTCCCTGAAAAAATATTCTTTAAAAAATCCACGCCTTGGATAGTCCCTGAAAAAATATTCTTTAAAAAATCCACGCCTTGGATAGTCCCTGAAAAAATATTCTTTAAAAAATCCACGCCTTGGATAGTCCCTGAAAAAATATTCTTTAAAAAATCCACGCCTTGGATAGTCCCTGAAAAAATATTCTTTAAAAAATCCACGCCTTGGATAGTCCCTGAAAAAATATTCTTTAAAAAATCCACGCCTTGGATAGTCCCTGAAAAAATATTCTTTAAAAAATCCACGCCTTGGATAATCCCTGAAAAAATATTCTTAAAAAAACACAAATAGGATTGTCCCTGAAAAAATATTCTTTAAAAAACACAAATAGGATTGTCCCTGAAAAAATATTCTTTAAAAAATCCACGCCTTGGATAGTCCCTGAAAAAGTATTCTTTAAAAAATCCACGCCTTGGATAGTCCCTGAAAAAATATTCTTTAAAAAATCCACGCCTTGGATAGTCCCTGAAAAAATATTCTTTAAAAAATCCACGCCTTGGATAGTCCCTGAAAAAGTATTCTTTAAAAAATCCACGCCTTGGATAGTCCCTGAAAAAATATTCTTTAAAAAATCCACGCCTTGGATAGTCCCTGAAAAAATATTCTTTAAAAAATCCACGCCTTGGATAGTCCCTGAAAAAATATTCTTTAAAAAATCCACGGCTTGGATAGTCCCTGAAAAAATATTCTTTAAAAAAAATCCACGCCTTGGATAGTCCCTGAAAAAATATTCTTTAAAAAATCCACGCCTTGGATAGTCCCTGAAAAAATATTCTTTAAAAAATCCACGCCTTGGATAGTCCCTGAAAAAATATTCTTTAAAAAATCCACGCCTTGGATAGTCCCTGAAAAAATATTCTTTAAAAAATCCACGTCTTGGATAATCCCTGAAAAAATATTCTTTAAAAAATCAACGCCTTGGATAATCCCTGAAAAAATATTCTTTAAAAAACTCACGAAAGTTCTGTCACAAGCCAGCTAAGTAAGCTGGCTTTCGTTCCATAAGCCGTCCCCCTGAAAAAATATTCTTTAAAAAATCAACGCCTTGGATAATCCCTGAAAAAATATTCTTAAAAAATATTCTATAAAAAATCCACGCCTTGGATAGTCCCTGAAAAAGTATTCTTTAAAAAATCCACGCCTTGGATAGTCCCTGAAAAAGTATTCTTTAAAAAATCCACACCTTGGATAGTCCATGAAAAAATATTCTTTAAAAAATCCACGCCTTGGATAGTCCCTGAAAAAATATTCTTTAAAAAATCCACGCCTTGGATAGTCCCTGAAAAAATATTCTTTAAAAAATCCACGCCTTGGATAGTCCCTGAAAAAATATTCTTTAAAAAATCCACGCCTTGTATAGTCCCTGAAAAAATATTCTTTAAAAAATCCACGCCTTGGATAGTCCCTGAAAAAATATTCTTTAAAAAATCCACGCCTTGGATAGTCCCTGAAAAAATATTCTCTAAAAAATCCACGTCTTGGATAATCCCTGAAAAAATATTCTTTAAAAAATCAACGCCTTGGATAATCCCTGAAAAAATATTCTTTAAAAAATTCATGAAAGTTCTGTCACAAGCCAGCTAAGTAAGCTGGCTTTCGCTCCATAAGCCGAGCTTAAAAAATGTCCAGGCGCGTAGATCTTTACGCAATTTTTCCAATTTGAAAGACCATATTCGGCAATGTTGTCTTCCACTTGGTCTTTCCATCTTATTCGTGGCCTTCCCCTTCTGCGTGAACCATCAGCTGGTTCGCTTTTATATGCCTTCTGGGCTGGGGCATCTTCGTCCATTCTCACAACATGACCTAGCCAACGTAGTCGCTGTACCTCAATACGTCTAACAATGTCGATGTCCGAGAATAGCTGGTACAACTCGTGGTTCATTCGACGGCGATATTCACCGTCAACACAGATCGGCCCATACATCTTTCGGAGAATTTTTCTCTCAAACACTCCGAGAGCTGCATCATCTGCTTGCGTAAGTACCCATTCTTCAGATCCATATAATAGCACGGGTGAGTTTGGTCTGGCGGGAGGTGGCCTAGCTTTTGAGTTGTTTGCTCAGACCATAGTAGCATCTGTTGGCCGAATTTCAAAACTGATGTCATTCGTTTTGTTTATGGCGGTACCAAGGTATATAAAATCTTTAACTACCTCGAAGCTGTAGTTCTCAAGTTCCACAGTTGGACCGAGTCCACTGGACGTCTTGCGCTTTTGATACCATCAACTTGGTCTTCTCGCCATTTACTGCCAGACCCACTTTGGCAGACTCCTTCTCAATTTGTTCAAAGGTGGCTGTTACCGCTCTCAATATTCGACCCATTATGTCGATGTCATCGGCGTAGGCAAGCAAGTAAGTTGGATGAATTTCGAAATTCGATTTGTTTATGGCGGTACAAAGGTATATAAAATCTTTGACTATCTCGAAGCTGTAGTTCTCAAGTTCCACAGTTGGTCCGAGTCTACTGGACGTCTTGCGCGTTGATACCATCAGCTTGGTCTTCTCGCCGTTTACTGCCAGACCCACTTTGGCAGACACCTTCTCAATTTGTTCAAAGGTGGCTGTTACCGCTCTCAATGTTGGACCCATTATATCGATGACATAAGCGTAGGCGAGTAACATGTTTGGTGTACAGAGTGACATTCTGCTCACTTTTGCCTCTCGTATGACCTTTTCAAGTAGGATGCTAAAAAGGTCACACGACATTCTATCACCTTGTCTGAATCCTCGTTAGGTATTAAAGGGCTACGAGAGGTAGTTTCCGACTTTAACTGGTGATCTTGTGCCAGTTAAATTTATCCTGCATAGCCGTATTAATTTTGCAGGAATGCAAAACGCAGACATGGCTTTATACACCTCTGAACGGATAGGGCTGTCGAATGCGGCTTTATAATCGACGAATAGGTGGAATGTGTCGATGTGTTTTTTGTGGGTTTTTTCAGGATTTGGCGCAGAGTGAAAATCTGGTTAATGGTGGATTTGCTAGACCTGAAGCCACATTGATATGGTCCAATAATGCATTGATCATTGGCTTCAGTCGTTCACACAGTACGCTGGATAGCACTTTATGGGAAGGAGACTTATTCCTCTATAGTTAGCACATATCGGCTTGTCTCCTTTTTTGGGCACGGGACACAGGATGCTGAGGTTCCAATCATTGGGCATGCATTCTTCTAGCCAAATTGTACTAATCAGCTGGTGCAGTCTCCTTACCAACATCTGACCACCAGTCTTGAATAGTTCGGTTTGTAACACATCGACACCTGCTGCTTTATTATTCTTCAGCCGATTAATTGCTATTCTGACTTCATCTTGGCTAGGTGGTATACACTCTATACCGTCATCTATTATTGGTTCTGGGGTATCTACTTCACTGCTACTATTTGGTATCAGAAGTTTTTCACAATGATCCTTTCAGATCCTCAGCACGCTGTCTGTATCTGTCACCAGGTTTCCTTCTTCATCTCAACAGGAGGATGTGCCTACACCAAAGCCTTCGGTTTGGTGTTTTACCCGTTAATAGAATTTTCAGAATTCATTCTGACTCCTGTACATCTCGATTTGTTCACGCTCACGTTTTTCTTGTTCTTTCTTCTTTTTTCTGAAAATACGTTTCTCCTCTCTCCTTTTCTCCCGATAGTTCTCCATCGCATTACGTGTTGCTACTGTCCGCAGGGTTGCCCTATACGTTTTTCATTTTTGTAGCATTAAGACACTCCTGATCGTACCACGGATTTCTTGATGGTGGTCTTTGGTTCCCAAGTCTTGCTTTTGCTGCAGTTTGTAGGGAGGGGGAATTTCTCTTCCACTATGCTTCTATATTATTATCGGGACAAGCGGTGCTGTTGGGTAAGTTGAGTTTGCAGCTTTTCGACGTCAAATTTTCGTGTTACATTAGATCGCACCTTTGCTGCTACATTAAGGCGGGTGCATACCTTGGCTGCAACAAGGTAATGGTCCAAATCGATATTCGCTCCTCTGATCGATCGGACGTGTAAAACACTGGATGAATTCCTTCCTTCTATTACAATATGATCGGTTTGATTTCTCGTTGATCGATCGGGAAAAATCCAAGTGGCCTTGTGTACATCGAGATACTCGAATCTTGTGCTGCTAACTACTATGTTTTTTGCTGCCGTGAAGTCAATCAACCTCATACCGTTGTCAGATGTTTCTTTATGGAGGCTACCTTTTCCGACGGTGGGGCCAAAGATATTTTCCCTTCCGATTTCTGCATTAAAATCCCCTAGCAGAATTTTAATGTCATGGCCAGGGCAACGGTCTTATGCTGTTTTTAGGCGCTCGTAAAATATGTCTTTGGTCTGTTCATCTTTATCTTCGGTCGGAGCATGACCGCAAATGAGACTGATGTAGAAGAACTTCGCTTTTATACAGATTATAGCAATTCGCTCATCTACTGGAGTGAATCTGGAGATGAGGTCCCTTTCCATCGCATTTCCTGTAAGGCAATAATAACGGCTTTGTACTTCTTGAGTACATCCGCCAAAGCGAACACTTCGCCTGTTCTTTGCAACTTGCGCACATTCCAAGTGCAGATTCGCATATAGTGGTCCTTTATACGTTTTCGGGGGTCGGCAACATTAGGGAGGTTTGGTTTTCTTTTTCATAGTAGGTTGGGTTTTCCGAGAGTGGGTAACTAACCCGACGCCTCAACCCATTTTTTATAGTTCTTATGGGGTGATCATCGGGTGATGAAAATAGCTCCCCAGGTGGCACCGCGGGAAGGACAGTGTCCACAATTGAGATGAAAGAGAGACCAAGATAAGCCTGGACTTCGCCATGTAAAAGCCAATCAGAGCCGTTGCTTGGTATCTATCATCCCTTATGCCACCCCCACGCCTTGGATAGTCCCTGAAAAAAATACTATTTAAAAAATCCCCGCATTTTTTAGTGCCTGAAAAAAATATTATTTAAAAACCCACGCCTTGGATAAGTGTTCCACTCTCTTACAAGTGATATATTAGTTCTAGGTTCCAGATTTTTTTTAATTAAAATAAATAACATCTTAATTTCAATGAACAAATGTTGAAAAAAAACAACAACAAAAAATTTATTCAATGTAAGAATAGCATGCAATCCGCAAATGGCAAGCTTGAACGCCCGTCACATTTTCTTGTTATTGTTGTTGTTGCTGTTTTGTCATATCGACAATCAAACATCAAATTATGCGATCAGTTTGTAAATGAAAATTTTGTGGAAATGGAAAATGGAAGCAGAACAGAATACAAAGCAACATAGAGAGCACCTGAGGCCGAGTGTTGAAAACCTCAACTCCAACTCCATCCCTCGTCGTTCTGGCAGTCAACATCAACATTCAATTAGGTGCAAATGGTCATTTAAAAGGGCCAAGCGTGATGAACACAATGAAGTGGGGTTGAAAAGCCACAATACTACTGCTGCTGCTCTCCAATCGCAACTGTAATTAGTCAAAGCAATCAGCGTGAAAAACACCATGACTGAAAAATAAGCTGGCAGCGATCAGCTAGTCAGCGTTATTGGCAGGTAGGCAGGCAGTCGAACTTTAACGCTTTGAAATACTATGTCAATTTCCACGATTCTAACAATCAGTCAATTTTCAACTCTACAAACAAGCGGTCACAAAAATCGGAAAGAAGCTCGAAAGCCAAAACTCCCTCCCCATTTGTTCGAATCAAATTATTTAAAAAAAAATCCAATTAGAAAAAAAAAACAGTATGACTATTCTAACGGTTAGCCCATTGCATAGCAAACGACAAACGCGGCCAACAAATTTAATTTTAATTGCTCTAATTTTGTATAATTTTAACGGTTTTGCAAATGGACAAAGTATTCTGGAACGTTTACGTCCGAACTCGAATATAACCGCCAACATAAACGATGATCAAGTGAAAATTATATCCGGCACCAAAGTGAAACGATATGAACGTCTAACTGTACCAATAAATGCTGGCACAATAAATCTATTGCATCCACATCCCCCCTTTGTGGGATTGGCCTATGTAAGAACGCCACCACCCACCTCTTATGTCTATTTTCCTAAGCTAAGGAATTATGTTGTAACACATTGGCCATTTTATACGCCGTTGGTAAGGTTGAGCCTATCATAGATGTTTTTCGTCTTCGCATTCATTAAAGATTGGAAACAAAGTCGTTTAAAAAAAGGGTTCCAGAAGACCCAAAACGATGCTGAGAAAAAATCGTACAAAATTTGTAAATCAATCATTGTGATATTTCTTCTCAGAAGTTATATTATTAATCCACGCATAATGCTGTGATATTTCTTCACAGAAGTTATATTAATAATCCACGCCTAATGATCTGATATTTCTTCTCAGAAGTTATATTAATAATCCACGCCTACTGCTGTGATATTCCTTCTCAAAAGTTCCTTTAATAATCCACGCCGAATGCTGGGATATTTCTTCTCAAAAGTTAATTTAATAATCCACGCCTACTGCAGTGATATTCCTCCTCAAAAGTTCCTTTAATAATCCACGCCTAATGCTGCGATATTTCTTCTCAAAAGTTCCTTTAATAATCCACGCCTAATGCTGTGACATTCCTTCTCAAAAGTTCCTTTAATAATCCACGCCTAATGCTGTGACATTCCTTCTCAAAAGTTCCTTTAATAATCCACGCCTAATGCTGTGACATTCCTTCTCAAAAGTTCCTTTAATAATCCACGCCAAATGTTGTGATATTCCTTCTCAAAAGTTCCTTTAATAATCCATGCCTAATGCTGTGATATTCCTTCTCAAAAGTTCCTTTAATAATCCACGCCAAATGTTGTGATATTCCTTCTCAAAAGTTCCTTTAATAATCCACGCCTAATGCTGTGATATTCCTTCTCAAAAGTTCCTTTAATAATCCACGCCTAATGCTGTGATATTCCTTCTCAAAAGTTCCTTTAATAATCCACGCCTAATGCTGGGATATTCCTTCTCAAATGTTCCTTTAATAATCCACGCCTAATGCTGTGATATTCCTTCTCAAAAGTTCCTTTAATAATCCACGCCTAATGCTGTGATATTCCTTCTCAAAAGTTCCTTTAATAATCCACGCCTAATGCTGTGATATTCCTTCTCAGAAGTTATTGAAATAATCCACGCCTAATGCTGTGATATTCCTTCTCAAAAGTTCCTTTAATAATCCACGCCTAATGCTGTGATATTCCTTCTCAAAAGTTCCTTTAATAATCCACGCCTAATGCTGTGATATTCCTTCTCAAAAGTTCCTTTAATAATCCACGCCTAATGCTGTGATATTCCTTCTCAAAAGTTCCTTTAATAATCCACGCCTAATGCTGTGATATTCCTTCTCAAAAGTTCCTTTAATAATCCACGCCTAATGCTGTGATATTCCTTCTCAAAAGTTCCTTTAATAATCCACGCCTAATGCTGTGATATTGCTTCTCAAAAGTTCTATTAATAATCCACGCCTAATGCTGTGATATTCCTTCTCAAAACTTCTTTAAAAAATATCCACGCCTAAAGTTTTGATATTTCTCCTCAGAACTTCTTTCAAAAATCCACGCCTAAAGCTTTGATATTTCTTCTCAGGAGTTTTTTAAATAATACATGTCTAATCCTCCGCTAATCCTTCTCAGAAATTATTTAAATAATCCACACCTAAAGCAGTGATATTTATTTTGAGGAAGTTCACATCACTTGTTTTCAACAGTCCAAGGTTCTGGAATTAGCCCGTTATTTATATTACCTTTAATTATTTTTTCCATTCCATTTTTCCGTCTCACTTCGATGTAGATTTATCTAGATTGCCTGGATTAATTGCGTTCCATTAGATGGTCTTCTTGGCAGTCGGCTGTATATTTCGTAATAATAGACGTTTTCCCTCTCTGTTTTTTGTGTTGGCCTCCTGTTCTAACTGAAAACCCTGCTTCGGTCTATATTTCGGTGTTTAGGTCTATATTTAATATCGGCTACCAAAATGTTAATCTCCTTCTCCCTTACAATCAATTGGCTTTGTTCATAACCATTTTCTAACATCTACACCGTCATCTCCATCCACTAACAGATATTTTACTATTTTGTCCAATATAGGTTGCACCTAATTGGCAAGCTGGTGCCAAATTAACCGGAGAGGGAATTGAAGGTATGATTACGTTTCAACAGTTACCCTACAATAATGATATAAAGGTAACCCTCAATGCCACTGGAATACCGGCTGGAAAACATGCCCTACACATTCATACCTATGGTGATTTGACAGATAGCTGCAAATCGACGGGAGGACAATTTCCCAATAATTTTGTAAGATATCACTTTCTTCAAAAATATTTTAAATTACTAATCGAATTTTCCTTTCCAGTTGGGCAACATCGAGGTCAAGGAGGGCGGTGAAGTAAATGTGGCTTTTATCAGCATCTATTTGACTCTATTCGGTTATAATGGCATCATTGGACGTTCGGTAGTCATACATGAGAAACCCATCGATATTAATAGTGCCTTAAATGCTGAAGTCTTTTCATCGCCATTACATCCCATACCCGATGTCCAACAGGTTTATCAGAATGAAGAGAATTCGGTGGGTGAATCGATTGCATGTGGCATTATCAGTATTATGAATTCACCCATACCGACCATCAATAAGAAATAAAAAGGCAAAATCGATAATCATATTTTTTTGTATCATTTTTATTTTAATAATAAATATCCATATTTTTTATAAATAAATACGGTTTTTCAATAAGAGAATTCTCCTAAATAAAGCTCCAAATTACAGACATTCAGGTAGAGAAAACTGGTGTAGGAATAATATCGAAAATGGGACGGAACCAATTTTGCATCATGTAGATTGAAATCCACGTCTAGCTAATTCGTCTGCTTTTTCATTACCCATGATGTCACAATGCCCTGGTACCCAGCACAGCCGATAGCTATTAAGGGGAAAACACAAACGAGGATTCATTCCTGGCCTGTTAAGTTGGCTTTGTATGAAATGTCAATTTATAAAGGAATATCAGAGTCAAACTGGATTTTGGAAGCCGTTCTCCTTTAATCTTTTACAATAAAAGCGGCTCTACACTCGAAGACGACCTCAGACTTGATGTTACAGGATTTGATGGCTTTGAGAGCCACTTGACTACCCACAAAGATAGTCAGCGGTTCAACGATCTCTGTATTCAGACTATTTATCAATTCTGCTGCCTTCCAAATCGCTAAGATTTCAGCTAGGAAAACACTACAGTTAGCTATCCAACTTGTAGGTAAGCTCAAAACCTAGTCTTTCACAGTAGACGCCAGCCCCTGTACCTTCTTCCATCTTGGATCCGTCTGTATAAAAAGCCAGACCATTCAGAGGAGGTTTACTACGGTTTCAGTCGTCTCTAGTGTGGATAACGACACCTACCTTATATCAAATCTCAGGACTGGTGATATATAGTCGCTTAGTTTTCCACGTTGGTCCAATGTGATACTTTGCTCGTTCAGGATACATCCATACCCATAGGCACAATATCGCCAAAGATTCTGTTCATGCAGCCTTAGGGCACTACGATTTGCCTGACGTTCAGAGTTGGTTGGGGAGTGCTCCTCGCGGATCCAGTTATAAGAATCGAGGATGCCCTTTGTACCTTGCTCAGTTTGCTGGATGTCGACTTTTGACATAGGGAGTGCCACCAGATAAGGGATAGGATGGGTCTTACCACGGTGTTATACACGCAGTGTAAAGTCGATGGTTTTAGCCCTCCAACTTTCCCAATGGAATTCTTGCATGTTGAGCCAATATTGATCATTTTAGCAGGAAGGGCGCCGTTTCCTTCAAACGAGGTGAGGTTTCTCCACTTCCTCATCTGAACTACGTCGTTCTACTTTTCCAACAACCTCAGTGTACTCTCCAATACCTTTTTACTGAGTTTCATTTCATAGAGATTAAGGGGAGTACACACTATGCGTTTTGGAATACAATTTATGTCTCAATTTCGGACTTTGCAATAACCTCAAAAATGCTTGTGAATCTCTTAAAAGCTGCAAACATAAAGGTTCCTCTCTAAAACCAGGAAAATTTTTGGGTGAAACTCCGACCCGAAACAGATAGTATGTTCTTGTATTTAATATTATATGTCTAAACAGAACTTTACAAATGTTATCATTCCAATACAATTACCCCTTTGCCTTTGCCACCAAATGTCATATGAAAAGAGACTACAAACAAAGTACCGTTAGTTTAAAAATCTCGTCGCAAAAAAAAGATTCGCAATTAAAACCAAAAATTTCCATCTTCAACCATGAAAGTCCTTCAAAAATCTCTTAAAAATTGTGGCTATCAAGGACACTGTGAAAGTGAACAAATCCTCCAATGGGCTATACGTACCGGTGCCTGTTCTCAATTCTATAAAGATCTCTTGACATGGTTGGAAACGAATTTACTCGCCATCGATTGCACCCCGCAAGTTCGTAAAAATATGATGAATCTTATTGATACGCTACGCATCTCAATTCTGATGATACCACATCGTGGTAGTGAAGTAGCTGCCAACCCCAAAGAATTTCGTTTACAAAGTATTAAAGTGTTACTACATCAGTTGGAGTTGAGCCGGATGGTGACTGAAAAGAAATCGCATCAACATCATCATGAAGAAAGTCCACGCAAGGATCAGCAGGTGATGGGTGTGGACGATCATCGTCGCGGCACAACATTGCGTGTGACCGTAACAAATAATAGGCAAACGGATTTCAAAACTGGCTATTGGAATGAACGACTGGTTCGTTTTAAACCAACCACGTATTTGGAATTGTTTCAGTAGGGTTATTAAGACTCGATTTTAATTTTTATTTTAATATCTGATATTTTAAACTGTTATTTGAATTATGAAGAATAAACGATAATAAAAAAACTGTTAATATATATATATATTCTTTTATAACCTCACAATGTAAATAGAAAGTAAAGGACCTAATTGGTTTGGCCAACTATATGACATCATACACCAATTTGGGTATATGATGGACGTTCCTTTTGCATTCCTTTTTTCAAACATATGAGGACGGCTAGGTAAAATGTCTTTCTCGGACACACGTAACATTGCATATGCATGTTATATCTAAACCGATTTAAACAAATGGTGCATGTCATTATAGAATTAATGCGGTTGATAAAGTAAATTTTAATGTTTCTTGGAAAGATGTAGCGTCTTGGATGCATCACTTGCAATAAGTCTAGTTGAAGTCCCGGCCAAAGGCTATTCTGTCGCATAGCTGTTTTTCACATCTGTAAGAATCTATGTGGAATTTTGGGATCCCATATCTAAGGAACTATGGACATTCCCATCAAAATAATTACATTTTTGTAATCAGTACTTCGTCCTCTTGGAATTGGTACCCCCTACTGTACCTTCTGTATATTGAAGGTGGGACTTATCGGCTCATTCCTTCTATTACGAAAGTAGTGTCCGATTTGACGCCATCTTTACACTTCGTAACATTTTTACCAAACCCAGATCAGTTCCGAATTTTCAAAATATTGATACTTTGTGGGGGAGGTATTAGAAGGGGTGGACCAATGGGCCTCAGGTCCACCCCTTCTAATACCTCCCCCACAAAGTATCAATATTTTGAAAATGTATTTATTCAATATCAAAGAATGGAAACTCTGATTTGATCCAAACCTTGCCAATCGTAATACTTTTACTAAACCTACATCACATCCGAAGATAGGAGCCATCGGTCCACCCCGTCTAATACCTCCCCCACAGTGTCAATATTTTTTAAATCTGTTTATTCAATATCAAACGATATCTGATTGATCCAAACTTGTAATACCATCTGTCCACTCCTTCTGGTACCTTCCCCACAAAGTGTCAAATTTTTGAAAATGTGTTAATTCAATATTTGAATGCCCAATGACACGTTTTTCATGCGACCGCTGTTCCAGCAGTCTATTCAGTAACGTATTGAAGATCTCTCTTATTTACCGAACACCTTTTTGATCCTTAGAAGTCATCTTATATCCGCCTCCTTCTTACTTTGAAATCATATTCTATCCTTCGTGCCTATAGAAAATCAAACTTTTTTATCCATAGAAAGCATTTATTAACCATATGAGCACTTTTCTAACCATAAAATACCTCTTGTTACCATGGAAGACCTCTTTTAACCAATTATTCATATTAAATACCTTTTCTATCCACACAAGACCTCTTCTACCCATATATACCTTCTTATTCTATCCACAGAAGACTTCTTTTAACCATAGACGACCTCTTCGAACTATAGGAGACTTATCCTATCCAAAAATACCACCTTTCTCCATAGAAGAAGAATTTTTCTGTCTACAGAAAAGACCTTTTTATCCATAAAAGAACCCCTCTTCTATCTATAGAACATATCTTCTATACGTAGAATACCTCTTCTATGCATAATACATATTTTATTTATAGATCTCCGGTGGATGATTTATATTTATTGTTAAAAATCATATAAATATTTCTGGTTTTAGTGGGAATTATATATAAAAGACTTCTCCCAAACATAAAATTAATATTCTCTCCATTGGAAAAGACTTTTATCCATAGAAGAAGGCATTTTCTATATATGGAAGAAAACCTTTTCTATCCATAAAACAAGACTTTTATACATACAAAACCTCTTCTATACATAGAACCTATTTTTTATTTTAAGATCTCTGATAGAAGACTTATATTTACTGTACTCTTCTACTCAAAGAAGAGATATTCGGTCTATAGAACACCCAATTTTATCAATAAAAAATACCGATTATTTTACCACCACATAAATCAAATTATAAATCTTATAAATATTTCTTTTCGAAATGGCAATTATATTTGTTATCATAATTATAAATCTCTCTCTATATATAAATATATTGAATATATATCAATAAATCTCAACATCAAAATGCAAAATTCGTTTAACGTCTTCCGCCACGGTTATAATTCGAATGTCCACGATGGCCACCGCCGCCACCTCTGTTATAATTATCACCACCGCCTCTATTGTAATTATCACCTCCCCGGTAGTCTCCTCCACCACGATAATTGTCATTACCGCCACCGCCGCCACCCTGAGACCAGCCAGAGCCCTGGACACGGCCACTACCGTGAACCCAATTTTGTTGTTGTTGCTGCTGATGAGGTTGTGACTGATACTGGTTGTGTTGTTGATTCTGATTCTGTTGATAGGGTTGTCTTTGCGGCTGGGAGGTATACTGTTGCCAATGACCACCGCCGCCGCCACCACCACCTTGACCTCCACGACCACCACCTTGGCCACCGCGACCTCCACCGCCGCCACCTCTACCACCACGGAAGTTACCGCCGCCACCACCTCCTTGTGGCCCCGAGGAACGCTGCTGTTGCCACGATGGCATTTCTGGTGGTGGTGGGGCATGTTCATGGGCTCTGCCACCACGATCTGGCACTTTACCAATAACATGTTTATGTATCTTAGATCCAGTATTTTTGCGAACATTTGCAGAGCTTGTTTTCTCAATTATCGCCAAATCGGCTCGAGCCGCCAATAACGCCGCAATATCAGTCTCCATACCACCATATTTATAGCGCTCCAATTCCATTAATTTATTTTGGAATTTCTCATCGATTTCCTTTTCGCGAGATTTCATTTTATCCGACCACAGGAAACTCTGTATTGTCACATCGAGACGGGTCAATAACATTTGCCTTCTCAAGTTGTATTCCGCATCCAAATCACGATGAATTTCCTCCAACTGTTCCCATTGTTTATCTGTCAGCGACTTGGTATTTCTAAACAATGGTTCATTTACCACACCGGGTTTCATCATTCGCATCACCTCTTCCACCTTAAAGTTTAACTTATCGAAAAAGGCCTTGGCCGTGATGTTCTCTGGCGGTTTACCCAAACCCAAATCTTTAGTCATTTGTTCCAAAGCCTTTGCCGTGTTGGTCTCCGTTTTGGGTATAACATAAGCCTGTTCGGCTGGTTTCAATTTCATGTACATCTTTGTGGCCATCAGTTCTGTTATCAGATAGTCCAGCAGCTGCAATCGATGTTCCCGGCTCTCGAATCTATCCGACAATGGGCCGGTAACAAAGAAACTATAGGGACAACTCAACTCCTTCAACATAGCCGACAGCTCCATGGCAAATTCACTGGGATCATCACAGTCTTTACTCACTGATTCATCGGTTTTTCGCAATATGTGCAATTCTTGGGCCAGCCATGCAACCACTTCACGAAATTCGGGACTGCGTGTACCACCCTCCAGGGCTCGTGTCAGTTCATCATTTTGCAGGCACTTTCCTTGATACGAGAGGGCATTCAACGAGTCGATGACATCCAATTCGGATTCCATGATATCGATTCAGAGAAGTATTCTTTCAGGAATTCCACAAAAATTAGTCTTCCGCTGAATCTTCTCGATAATCTATCCAAATACTATATGAACATATATATGTACACACACGCTTGCAAATTCTGTTCGTGGTATGGCATCATCTTATACGGTGATGTGGCAACTCTGATATGAATGGGGAGGTAAGAGAAGCCGCTGATAATGTTAAGGAATCAAAACAAAAAGCTTGCCGGTAGCAATGGATCTAAAAGTTGAAATTTGAACCTCAATTATTGTGAATGGATACTGATGTAATCATTCACAGTGTCATAGGTGAAAAAAGTAGAGTTACCGAACCATAGCAAATGTAATGAATTGACTTAGCTTGCTAGCGGATTAATAGTTTGAATATTTGATATCGTTTATTTCTCATATTAAATGGAGAATATGAAAATCTATCCAAGAGGGAAGTTAGAATAGTTTTAAAAAAGAAAATTATGCTTCTCTTATAATTTAGCACGGGAATCCTTAGGTATATATCCTCGATCAATGACGTCCGATGGAATGACGTCTTGGATGCCTTCAAGATAGCGTCTGAAGTCCTGTATCACGGAGGTGGATCAGCCGTCACTGAGTGATGATTGGGATGACACGGCAGATTGCATGCCAGCAGGAACTGTCTAGTCAAGAACACATTATTTTGCTTGACTGACGACATACTGGTCTCCTCATAATGGTGATCGACGCTCATCATCTGGACACACCCGATTGCAATTCGGAGTGCATTGAGTAGTATGTAAGCATATCCATTGTGTCTCACTAAGGGAATAAGTACAGAACTAGACAGCATAATTAGGGATGAAACGACTGATGATCTTGTAGTTCTTTGCCAAAGTTTCTTCATCCTTGCCCCAGGAGGTGCCAGCCAAAGCTTTCAAAGTTTTTTCCTAGCTTTCACCTTCTGGTTGACGTAGTTGGAATGCGAAGAGAAATAAAGGAGGTTATCGAAGACCGCCCTAAGGATTTTCGGATTATGGACGGTGGAAATATCAAGTTTTCAATTGACTTTTCGCGCCCAGGAAGTGAAATAGTAAACTTTGCGTGGGATAATTTTAGTCGGATCTTCTCATTCAACTTAATAGAAACCGGTTCCTTCCGCCTTAGTCAGTAGAAAATCCCGAATCAGCTCTGCCATTGTCAGACGAGAAAGACATCGTGGAAACTACAGTGATTAGCGCTACGGTAGCGATCCTGGTGTCTCCTCCGAAGCAAGGTGAGTTCTCCCAGATGATGAGTAGGGATGTAAACCCTGGCGAGGTTGAGGATCCGCTCTCAATCTCTATGGCCTGTAGTGATGTCGCGAGATAACTCAGGCAGTTGGCTGTCGAAGCGGATACTGGTACTGATGAGACGTTAAGATGGATGTATCACCAGTACCAGTAACTGCTAGGCAAGTCGAGGCCAAGGAGATGTTCCGGAAAGAGGTTAACTACTGCAATCGATTCATCGGACTTATTGATAGATCTAGGTACCGCCAATCTAAGACCATTGGCAATCGTTAATTCTCCACGAGGAACTCTCCCCCAAGATATGATAGTTTCTTGGGGCAGTCATCCAATGAATTTTATTGGACTTTCCTGTAACCACACGATATAATTCAGCTCTGTTCCTCGTAGGGTTATAAGCCAATCGTAGCTTGGCAACTATGGAAATATCAAATCACGACATAAATCGATTTATACATCTTGAAGTAAAGAAGATAATTTAAATTACGGTTTACAGATCCCTATACCGTATATATCGTTTTCGATCTTCGAATCTTTAATGCTATGCTTTTTGTTTTGATTCTTGATTTTTATCAATCACTTGTCTTATCAAATCATTCATTGTAGACATGCCATATTGCGGTATGCAATGATGCCACCTCCCGTTTTGGAAATTACGCGAAGCGGTAATCGGTTATGTGAGTAATCGAAAATATTTTGAGTAATTTATTTTTGTTACTTTGGAATCTGGTTGGATTTGTTTATAGCTTATATTTACAATATTACAGGAGAAGGAAGAAAGCTGAAAAATGTCTAAAGTGACGGTCCAGGATATTGAGGCAGTGGACGATTATTGGGGTCCAACATTTCGTTCAATTCTGGAAGGTATGATAGGAAAATTATTAATCATATCAAAACATTGCTGATGATGACGGATGACCATTCCCATACGCCCATTATTATTGTTGTTATTGTTATCGTTCTAGGTGACAACAAGGAATCCATATCCGAACAATTGGAACAACGTATACGCAGCCATGACAAGGAAATCGAAAGAATTTGCAATCTTTCATATCAGGGATTCATCGATTCTATACAAGAGCTATTGCAGGTGCGGACCCAGGCACAACAACTGGCCACCGAGGTGCAGACTTTAGATAAATCTCTACAGCAAATTAGTGCAACCCTCATCCAGCAGGGCAATGAATTGGTGAAGGCAAGACAAATTGAATCAAATTTGGCCTCGGCCATAGATGCTCTCAAGGAATGTCTGCCTGCACTGGAGTGCTATATCAAGTTTTGCCAGCAGGCTTTCAATAAACAGTACTACCAATCGCTGCGGACCCTTGAAACACTGGAGATGCAACATTTACCCAAACTGCAAAGCTATAAATTTGTTACACAAATGCGTTCTGCCATACCGGTAATAAAGGAGAATATACGAAGTTCCTCGAAGGCGGATTTTCTTGAGTTCCTCGAAAATATACGTGGCTTCTCACCGAAAATCGGCAAGGATGCCATTGAGCATACAAAGAAATTACAGAAACGGGATATTAACACCATTATCGAAGACCATAAGAATTCGGTTAAGAAACGTGATTCCGCCGCCGATGATGACAACTTAAGTGCCCAAGATTTAATAGACTTCTCACCCATCTATCGTTGCCTTCACATCTACACGGTATTGGGTCAGCGAGAATATTTCGAGAAAAATTATCGCCAACAACGACAGGATCAGGCGAAATTGGTTCTCCAACCACCACCCGGCATGCATGATAACTTGGATGCCTATAAATTGTACATCTGTGCAATTGTCGGCTTCTTTGTTGTCGAAGATCATGTCAAGAATACAGCAGGTGAAGTGGTAACCACCAGTTACTTGGAAGAGCTGTGGTCCACATCGTTAACGAAATTTGTAAATGAAATCAGTATGAGCTCTTCATCGTGTACCGATCCAAATATTCTCTTGCGGATAAAGAATCTTATTATGCTGTCCATCAACACGTTTAAATGTTATGGTTATACGGTGAATGTCCTGTGGGAATTGCTGCAAAATATGAGAGATCATTATAATGAGGTAGGAAAGACTATGAATTTTACCCTACACCACTGTATAGAGCTATAGATAATATTTAGTATATACCTATTTAGAATCATTTTTTAATCCGATTTTTTTCTGGCACCACAAGAGGAGTGGATATTTTTTGAAGTCTAACATACGCGTGGATTCTTTCAAAAATATTTTTTTGGAGCCTAGCATAATCGTGGATTTTTTAAAGAATATTTTTTCAAGCCCCTATAGAGGCTAATTTTTTCTAAAGAATATTTTTTTAGCCCCTATAGAGGCGAATATATTGTATAGAAAATTTTTTCAAGGCCTAGCAGAGGCGTAGATTTTTAAAAAATATTTTTTCATAGGCGTAGATTTTTTTTTAAAAAATTTATAGGCGTGGATTTTTTAAAAAATATTTCATAGGAGTGGATTTTTTTTAAAAATATTTGTTCATAGGAGTGGATTTTTTAAAAAATATTTTTTCATAGGAGTGGATTTTTTAAAAAATATTTTTTCATAGGAGTGGATTTTTTAAAAAATATTTTATCATAGGAGTGGATTTTTTAAAAAATATTTTTTCATAGGAGTGGATTTTTTAAAAAATATTTTTTCATAGGAGTGGATTTTTTAAAAAATATTTTTTCAAGCCTCAACGCAGAGTTGGAATTGTCAAGCCCCAGTGGAGGCTTGGATTTTTAAAAATATTTTTCAAGCCACAGATAAGGCTTGGAATTAAAAAAAAAATTTAAGACCAAATTATTTTTTCAACGGCTTGGATTTGTTAAAGAATATTTTTGAAAACTCAAAATTATTTTTTTTAATTTTCTCTCCATTTCCTCACTAATAAAATTTCCTCTCATTTCAGGTTCTTTTACAACGTTGGGTCCACGTGTTCCGTGACATACTCGATAAGGAACAATTCCTGCCCATGGTTGTGGAAAATCAAGAAGAATATGAGGCCATCATAGAACGTTTTCCCTTCCACTCGGAGCAATTGGAAAATGCCCCGTTTCCCAAGAAGTTCCCCTTCTCCCGTATGGTCCCAGAAGTCTATCATCAAGCCAAAGAATTTATGTATGCCTGTATGAAATTCGCCGAAGATCTAACTCTCTCTCCCAACGAAGTTGCTGCCATGGTACGCAAAGCTGCAAATCTTCTATTGACACGAAGTTTTAGTGGCTGCCTATCGGTGGTATTTCGTAATCCCAGTGTGGCCTTACCTCAGCTAATACAAATTATCATCGATACCCAGTATTTAGAAAAGGCCAGTCCATTTTTGGATGAATTTGTGTGTCATATGACAAATACTTCAAGTAGTGTAGCGCAATCCCATTCGGCCATGTTTCATGTGGCACGACAAGATGCTGAGCGACAAGTGGGTATTAGGATTTGTTCCAAAATTGATGAATTCTTTGAATTGTCAGAATATGATTGGATGTTGGTGGAGCCACCGGGAAAAGCTTCAGCTTTTATTACCGATATGATTTCCTACCTCTCAAATACAATTGAAAGTTTTGCCTCAAAACTGCCGAGTATAGCACAGACGGCGTGTCATCGCACCTGTGAACATATGGCTGAGAAAATTTGGTCCATTCTCTTTGATGATGAGGTTAAACAAATCTCTAATGGGGCCCTACATCAAATCAATTTAGATTTAATGCAATGTGAATTTTTCGCAGCCAAAGATCCCGTACCCGGTCTTAAAGAAGGTGAATTAACCAAGTACTTCTTGAAATGTCGCCAATTATTGGATTTGCTGACAATGGAAGAGTGGGCAACATATCTGCATGATTATGGCACCAAAGAAGATCGCTACAATTTGGTACATCCACAATCGATTATTGTGATTTTGGAAAAGATACGCGAAGCCGATCGTAAAACAATGTTTTCGGGTCTGCGTAAGAATGATAAGAAAAAACTGCTGGAAACAGTTTTGAAACAATTGAAAAATTTAGCTGAACGGCAAAATTGAGATATCCCACACACATTCCTCGAAAGAAAATTTTGAGAGCAGAACACAAAACAAAAAATTTAAAACAATTGGGTATTATAAAGAACGAAAGAAAAAATAACTAAAACAAATTATTCATTTTATATTTATGTAAAAGAAATATATATGTGAATGTATAACATTAACTAATTTTGTAAGGCTTTAAAAAAGTGCAAGTTATAAATAAATTATATTATTTAACAAATATTATATTATTTTATTATAAAAATTATTATTTTACACTTGACTGATTTACTGACTTAACGATTCATCAACGCCCAGACGAAACGACTGAAACTAGAACATTGAAATTTGGGGTGAGGTTCACACCTGGTCCAAAGCTGTCAGATAAAGTTCGAATTTTGGAAATTCGTACTAGAACGGCACAAAAAGTACTAAAAAGTAATAAATGGTGTACCATTTCAATTTTGCGAACCGGTATAGATAGAACTCTTAAATATGAAATGAGGGGCCTCTTTCTGGAGTGTAGGATAGATATAGCAATGGTTTTTTGGACATTCGATCGATAAGAATCCGAAAAGTACTAAGGTAGGCAGATGGTTTTGAAAATGGGTACTACAGTACTAAACTGTACTAAATTTGGTACAAATTGAATTTTGGAGAAACGGATGGAGTTGAAATACTGAAATTTGAAATAAACATTACCGTCGAAGTGTACTATTGGGATATGTACGAAGTTTTGGATTTTTTACATGTTTATGCATGTGAAATGTACTAAATCGTACTATAAATGGTACAATTTAGATTTGGGTGAACCGATGGAACTGGAACACAGAAATTTGCAAATAAAATTACTGTTAAAGTGTACGATTGGAGCATGTAGGAAGTTTTGAGAATTTGCATTAATATGTACTAAATTTGGTACAAATTGAATTTTGTGTGAACCAGTAGAGCTGGATTCCGGAAATTTGGATTTTGGAAACTTTTTCTTATGGGTACTAAATTTGGTACAATTTTAATTTAGGTGAACCGATAGAGCTGGTATCCTGAAATTTGGAATTAAGATCACTGTTGGAGTGTAGGATTGGGATATGGATGTAAGTTTGGAAATTATTACTAATGAGAACTAAATATTGGATGAACCGATAAAGCTAGAATCCTGTAATTTGGTGTTAAGGTCACTGTTGGAGTGTAGTTTTGGGGTATGGTATGGATGAAGGTTTGGAAGTTTGTACTTATGGGTACTATATGGTACTAAGCTTGATACAATTGAGTTTTGTGTGAACTAATAGAGCCGGAATGCAGAAATTTGGAAATTTGGAGTTAGGATCACTTTAGGCGTTGTAGGAAGTTTTGGGAATTCGTACCAATGTGTACTAAATTTGGTACAATTTGAATTTTGTGTGAACCAATAGAGCAGGAATCCACAAATTTGAAGTTAGCATTACTTTTAGAGTGTAGGATTGGAATAGAAAGTTTTGGAAATTCGCACTAATGTGTACTAAATTTGGTACAATTTGAATTGTGGGTGAACCGATGGAGCTGGAATCCTGAAATTTGGAGTTTTTAGGGTGTAGTTTTGGACATTCGTACTAATGTGTACTAAATTTGGTACAATTTGAATTTTGTGTGAACCAATAGTGCTGGAATCCATATTTTTACAAAAAGATTATTGTTGCAGTGTAGGATTTGTGGAATGGATGAAGTTTGGTAAATTTGTACTTATGGTTACTGAATGGTACTAAATTTGATACAATTTGGATTTAGAGCTGGAATAGTAAACATTTGAAATTATGATTATTGTTAGAGATTAGAAGTGAGGTATCCAGATAGTTATGTGAATTCGTACTTATGTGTACTAAATTGTACTCATTTTGGTACAATTTGAATTGTGGTTGATCGGATAGAGCTGGAATCCTGAAATTTGGAGTTAGGATCACTGTTGGGGTGTAGAATTGAGCTATGTAGAAAGTTTTGGAAAATTGTGCTAATATTTACTACCTTTTTCGCGTTAGTCTTATATGCGAGACCGAAGACTGAGCTGTTTTTAGCAACAAATGTCCATGCGTTGAAGATAATTTTTCATCAGGCCGACAAAAGTAGCCACTGCAGGCGAGGTAAGTATTCGATTGACCTGAAATTCCCTAATAGTCTTGTGGTAGGATGGTTTTTCACATACGACCACACAAAGTGCTTTGAGATCCAAAGGACTTCGTTTCCGCTGGTCAAGTTGGGGTCATTATCATATCTTTGTCAGTTACATATTGCCCTCAGATACGTGTTCTATAAAATGCTTCTTTAGATTTGGCAATTTTTGGGTGGTGGAGCCGACAACGAGGATTCCCCTAAGTGTTTGTCTGCCTCAAGAACATCGACTTGGCGACCAATGTCAACTAAGATTCAGCAGTTTTTACTTCGGAAGAGTCCACGTCATCAACGGATTAGAGGACAAAGTTCTGATGGCAGTAATTTTCCTTTCGTCCGTCATTGGGTGTATCGAGCATCCAACAGCATCAACGGAGATACTTGACGCATCCTGTTGGAATAAAGGGTTTGGCTTCTGCATTTGGCTAGGCTAGAAATTTGAAAGAATACCGATCTGTGATCCGAATGATATTTTATAAAAATCGTATTACTCCTTTCTTTTAATTTGAAATTCAAAATATTCAACAAATTTATATTAAGAAATCGATTTTTTATTTATCCGTTTTGTTTTATATAATATATTTTTTTATTTCTATATACAAATTATTTTTTTTAAAATTAGAATTATATGCGAATGTTGTGTTGTTGTGTATATGGTTTGTTGTTTTGTGTACCTTCATTTTCGTATAGGGGTTTTTTTGTTTCATTTGAAATTTGGTTTTAATATTCTCTAATAATAATAAAAATTTAAAAAAATGTTACAAAGATAAATTTTATAGAACAATTATATAATGCGTCCAAGATGCACAGTTGATAAACAGTAAGAAAATAAATTGTTCTTATTAATAAAACATTTTAAATAAGAAAAAATTAAAAATAAAAACAACAAAGTGATTAAAAAATATAAACTGCATTTTTTTCTTTTAGTTTTGTAATTCTAGGGAATAATAATTGTTTCTTTTTTCTTTCATTTATTTATAATAATAAAAAAGACAAACACGTTTTTTTTAATTTTGGCTTGTTTTTAACCACACATCGAAATGTTTTTTCTTTTTTTTTTTTTGGGAGAATACGAAGAGTTTGCCTTTGGGGTTGTTGTTTTTTATATCTTTGACACACTACAATTAATAAACTAAGGTTTGCTTTAAGCTTTGTTATTTTTTTAATATAATTACTAGGTTTTTTTATATATATTTAATAAATTGTTGTTGTTGTGTTTTTGTTACTCATCATTCTAAATGTAGTTTAAATTAATATGGTTTACCAATTGTTGGTTGTTTTTGTTTGCTTTTTTTCTTTACTTTTCTTTGCGCTTTTATTTTTTGCTTTCTTCTATTTGGGAGTGGAGGAGTCATTACCATTATAGCACTGATTCGGTTGCTGCTGCTGCTTCGGCTTGCTTGTTTTTCTTGCCGGTTTCTCTATGTGGACACATACATATATTGGCGTTGATGTCAACTTTTGGCTTCTAAATGCTTAGGAGCATCGGCATAGGTGAACTTCAGGCGAAATGCTTCAGCAACTAAGACATTGATTTGACGATCAGACCAATTGTGTGTAGGCAGATTTTGTAGCAGTAATAAAAGGCCCTGAAATGGAGAGAAGAAACAAACACACAATATTAAATGAAATGAAAGAAGAGCGGCACAATATAAATCCTTTATCAGTTTTCTCCCATTCCATTTTATGTGGAGTTATAATCTTAGATAAGTAAATAGGGAAAAAATGAGGAATAGAAGTCTGTTTTTAACAACAAGGATTTATTCGCAGCTTGTTGCTGTTCCGCCGTCGATTTCATCATCTTCATATTTAAGGGGACCTCCCCCATTCTTGATTTTAAATTTTCAACATTTTCATTGGGCTGGTAAATGTATACCAATCATGTTAAGTTTTGTAACTTTACACATATATAATCAAAGATTTAAAAAATAAGGAAGGTTAGGTTTGGGCATGTGCAGTCACTTATGTGGCTGCAGCACTCTGATACAGTCAGGTCCATTGTGATCATCAACGAAAAGAAAAGAGATAAGAAGAGATCCATGGGGGAGAGAAGAAGGGGGAGGGAAGAAGAGAAATGAGAAGCTTACAAGAAAATTTAAGAAGATAAGTTTGAAATAGCATCGATGGGTATAGATATTGGACAGAAGATATATTACGTGTCAAAGTTGCGCTTCCCAACCACTTTAGGTTTCTAAATGTGCTGTAGATTAGAGCAGATCAGCTCAATTATCTCCGTCTCCTCCTCGTCAACGCAAAGTCTACAGTAATCAATTGCATCATGATCCCACTTACTAGTAAAGGCCCTGATATTGCAATGACCTGTAATGATTCCTGTCTTATTTCAGCTTTGCTAAGGTTCAACAGTGAGTGTGTCCTTTTGGTAGACAGAGTCGGCCCAATGGAAAGTTCATAGGCTCTTTCGTCGAAGAACGCCTTAAAGTTCTGATAAAGATGCCATATGTTTGTTTGATTGAGTCATCAATTGCTAGATCTGTGGATTGGGGTCCTCATCTAGCTAATTCGTCTTTCATTGCCCAAGATGTCACGGTGTCCTGGTACCCAACACAGCCGATAGCTGTAATTAAGTTCTTCCAGACCTGTTCTACACTTGGGGACGGCCTCAGATTTGATATAACAAGATTTGATTGCTTTATCCAGAGGATGATTACTCCGGTTCCAGTCGTCTCTACTAGAAATAACGACATCTACATCTTCAACTCAGTACTGGCGAGAATGTGGGGGGTCTCCTTAAACGGACGTTGGACGTTTGACTTACTGTATAGCGGGGTTCCTGTGATGTCGCCTTCCTATAGGTCCCGGCAGAGATAGCCACGATACGTGGGGTATGAATTCGATTAAACGGAAGTTCCCTGGAGTGCTTCTTGATTCAAATGAATTCCTTCTCGCTGATCAAGTTCGTTGCTAATAGCAATACGGTAAGGAAGTCGGTTGATGTTTCTCCGTCGATCTCATCCTCTTCATTAATGCAGGCGTTGAGAGTATTTTACCTAATTCGGTACAACTTCTGCTAGAGTCACAGATGTTGCTGCCGTCCCAACTCCGGACTAAGGTCCGGTGATTGCACTATGCTCACAGTGGTTTTCCTTTGCTGTCACCATTGCAGAGGTTCTGGCAGAGGTAGCCTCTATGCCCGAGGTAGAAATTCGAACAACTGGAAGTTCCCCAGAGTAATCTAAGGGTAGTATCTCTCTCTCTCTCTCTATCGTACTTTCTCACGACCCTATGGGTCTTTTTTATCTAAATGAATTCCTTCTCGATAATTAAATTGGGGTCCTTCTTTTCGCTGAGCCATATCCTTTGAATACGTAATAGGGTAAAAATCTGACAGGGAAGTCGGTTTTTAGCAGCAACGGTTTACTCGCAGCTGATTAATGTTACTACATCAATTTTATGCCCTTCATTGCTACGTTGTGTTGAGAGAATTCGACCTTAGTCGGTAAGGCTTCAGTTACAGTCGCCTAGTCGCTTCCTGACTTTGGTCCCCTGTTTGCACCAATGTCCTGATGCCATACAGTTGCCCTATTGCCTTTATACAATGGGCTGAGGTGAAAGGCCGTTCGAATACAAGCGGTACCCTAACTAGGAAGGAGGTGACCTAATGATCAAGAAGTGGATATTTAGTGACGCCAATCTCGTCTTGTCGATCTCGGGATCATAGGTACTCGTTAATTTCCTCCAAGACACTCCCGCAAGACCCATAGATTAAAATACATTTTCGAAGGATTCTAAGGACCACATTTTTTATTCGAAAGAGATATCATTTAATAATTTTTCGACATTTAAAGCGTCTTTCTTTAATTCAAATCCAATTAACAGGGCAACGATCTCATGGAAAATAATACAGCACCCTAAACATGATAAAAATGTTTACTTCTAAAAGGGGGGTGGTGTTTTACTATGATTGTTTCGTAGAACTTACATTAGCCGTCGATCTTTTATCCTAATATATCCCTCAAAAAATATACAGGATTATTTTCGTTAATCGTATACTCACCTGAAAATCAACTTGCTGCATTAATTGTTCTTTCCAATGTAATAAGAAGGCGGCACAAACATATAGGTGGAATAAGGCAAAACCATCCGATTCCGCCAAATAGGTATCCCATAAACGTATTGTACAATGCAGAGGCAATTCGCGAGTTAATAGGTTATTCATCCAACGAAATGAGAATTGTAAATAATCCACACCATGTTGTTGTAAATGACGATGAAGGTTACCTGCAACAAGAAGAGAAGCATATAACATTAAATATAGATTTTAAAAAATATTTTAATATTTGAATAAAAAAGTAATCAAAATCGGTGTGCCTAACTTACCATCTATTCTTTGTATTAAATCCTTTAATTGATTCACTTTCTCCTGTATTCCCAATTGAGCAAATATATAATTATCTTGTATACAATCGAGAAATTTCGATAGACACCAAAAGGCATCCGCTTCAATGGCATCACGAATTTCAACCGATAATGATTCCATATTGAATTTTTCGATATCAGTTCCTAGGGTACAAATAAAAACAAATGGTTTTAATTGTATTAATTCAATCTATAAGTTATAGGGTTATATGTATGTAATTTCTTCACCTGGTGGTAAATTCTCTTGTAAAAATACAATAAAAAATGGTGTCACCAAATCATTAATGCCTTGAACATAACCCGATGCCGGATGCCGTATAGACCATATAAATAAAATGCGTTCAAACATTTCTTGCACCAATTTTTGTTGGAAGAGCGATATTTGGGGATTCATACGTGGTACATCGATGTGGATCTGTAGAATTACAATTTAACATTTTCTTTTATTGTTTTTTTTAGAAAAAAAGTTGAACAAAACTTACCTGTCTGTATGTATCCTGTTGCGATTCATCGGGACTATCAACCCTAAAGTAATTATGTCTTAAGTCTTGATAATTTTGTCGTTTACTTTCTAAAACACCATTACGACGTTCGCCCGAAGGTGGTAAATATTTTGACAATAGACGCCAACTTATGGCACGCATCTGAAAGAAAAAAAAATACAAATTAAAAATTAAGGCAAGTAGGTTAATTAACCCCTACGTGGTACATTTGTACCCATCCAAATATAGCGCTGTAATTCATTTCAAAACTGGACTGTCGTGCGTTTTCTTTTTTATTCTTACTCACCTTTCTAGGAATACCGGACCAGCTTAGTTTCTTTAGAGCAACTAAATCCAATAGCGGTGAATCCAATAAAACTTGGAATTTTTCAATTTTTGTTTCATATTCGGAGTCCTGAGAATTCGAGGTAAACTTTTGTAATTGTGGACGTCCAGGCAATGCTTGAATATGACGAATACGGGGTCTGAAATGAAGAGACAAAATAACCAAAAATGAAAACTTAGATGAATTCAGAATTCAAAAGAAAAAATTAAAGAAGGCGAGAAGTTCGGCGGTATGAAATAATTTCTTTGGTTTTTATTATATTTTTGGGTAGTTTATCCTTTGGTAGGTTAAGCGCATTTTGTAATTTATTTTTAATGGACCTGAAAGCTTTAAAATAATAAATAAACTGAATTGAAAACCAGTAAGGAAACATTAAAAGTCGAACGGGGCCGACTATAAGATACCCTTCGCCACTTTGGGTACATTACTATTTGTTATCGTAGTAAAAAGTAGTAGATTCTTGCAATACGGGAACATACCAAATGTGTACAATATTGGGAGTTTGGTTGTTGTTGTAGCAGTTTATATGAATGTTAATTTCATATTTAAAATAAATCTGGTTCTGTCTCCAAGTTAAGAAATGCAGCTACTTCCACTGGCGGCAATCACAGATCTTCAGGAGTAAGACAAGTAGATTTGGCTAGGCAATTGAATAATTGCTGCAACTGCATGAGTATGAATGCTATTCAGACCTGCTCGATAGGCAACTCGATCTAGAGGCTCCATCAGGCCGCGTTCTGACTGGTCTGAATACTTCTCCATTACGCATCACTAGTATTAGCAGACCACACTGGAACTGCATAGCTAGCCACAGACAGGCCTATCGCTTTGTAAGATATCATCAAGGTTTCCTTATCTGCGCCCCAAGTACTGACGGCAAGCAACTTGAGGACCTTGTTCCCCTATTTTTCAACTTATTGGGCGGGAGTTTGGCGCACCATTTAGATAAATCGGAAGAAACTGTATATGGAAGCTACATCTAAATTTGAACCGATTTCAACAGAACTTTACAGACATCAAACTGGACTTAATTCAGTACGTGCAAAATGTGCAAAATTTTGTCTCAATCGCTCAAATATTGGAAGTTTTTATATGTTATTTTATTATAGATATAAGTTTTTCTGATGCACCATTTAGCTTAATAAATGAAATTAAATTAAATTAAGATCGGAGGAAGCTGTATATAGGTGTTATATCTAAATCTGAATCGATTTCCGCATACGTCTATCTGGACCTATCTCAGTTTCATCTACATTTACATAAAATCGGACGAAACTATATATGGGAGCTATATCAAAATCCGAACCGATTTTCTTAAATTTCAATAGGGTTCGTCCTTGGGCCAAATAAGTGAGCTGTGCCAAATTTCATCCAAATCGGATCAAAAATGTGAACTGTACTTTGTTCACAAAAATACATGGATATACATATGCACAAAAAGCCATAATACCATGTACCACAGTGTGGTGAAGGATATAAAAACAGCGAAAAAAGATCTAAGTTCCGTTGTATAAGAATGAGTACCCACTCTACCATAGGGTTCTTTATCCGATCCGATTCTACACCGACGTAATGCACAATAAGCGACAATTTTCAAAATATCGAAAATCGGGGTTCCTCATATATGGGTACGAGGCCAGAAATATTAACGTTATAATTGGAAGATTTCGAGGTGTTGTAAACGGAATGAGGAATTTATTAAACTCTTCGCCTTATCCTGGATGGTATAAAAAGGGGCCGGGAACTTTATAATCTAAATAATGGTATTTTTTATAAAGAAGAAATTAATCCATAATGACCAATTACAGTCATTTCGGTTTGAAGTCTCGGCAGAGATCTTCAAAATACAAAAACATAACGGCGCGGTACCGTTATATGGCGGTTATATAAAAAAATATCGTATTTTCAACACCATAGATTCTTGATGCAGTAATAATGCATATGCAAACATTCTAATCTCTATCTAAAATTTGCGATACACTTTTTACCATATGTCGGAGGGTATACAAAAATCATTCAACAATTTGCCTTTTTTACCTTATGTCATCAGAATCTTGTAATTTCAAATCCTTTTGCATTTGTTTTGCTGCTGCTGTTGTCATACTCTCAGCAACATTCTTTGCAGAATTATCCATTGCGGTATTATGAGTTTCATTGGTCGTCGCATTGTTGTTACACGTCATTGTATTCTGAGTTGATGTTGCGCCACCACCACCACCCGCTGATACTGTGCTATTATTTGTTGTCATTTTATGAACTTCAATAACATTTTGAGCCAATGTTTGTGAAACTTGACGTGATATTCGGGGATCTAAAAGTAAAACAAGAAATTCAAAACCATTATCAAAAGAAAAAAATATAAAAACATTCAAAACAAACATATTTTTTATCTTTGCAATTAAATTAACACAGTAATTAAAACAAAAGTTCACCAAATTACCGGTTTTATGGATGGGAGCTGCAGAGGATTCATCTGATGCATTATTGGTGCCGACTCGATTATTTAATTGATGGTGTTGATGTTGCTGCTGTTGTTGTTGTTGCGTGGCATTAGATATTATACAAAATTCATCATCACCCGTATCCCAGGCATCACTAACCGAATTTTGATAATCACGAAAGGTTGCCATCATACCGCCACTGTGACCAGCCCCTCCAACTCCACCGCCTACCTTAGCCGATGATAATGAATTGGTGTCACGTTTTGGACTTGGGCGACCGGGCACAACCCTATTACTATTCTTCCAAAATGAATTAGTGCTACTTGTTGTTATTGTTGTTGCTGTGGTGGATATTTGTTGAATTTGATGTTGCTGATGGGTAATTGAGGAGGAGGATGATAACGAAGACGACGACACCGATGATGTTTTGTTTGCTTGCGTTGATGTGTTTGCTAAATTTGTTGTTGTTTTCGCGTTGTTGTCTGCATTATTGTCCATATCCAGCTTAATTGTTGTTGGATGAGTTGAAAAGTGCAATTCTTTTCGGTGTTTCGATCTGCTGCCGCGGCTGCTACTACTGCCAATTGGATGTTATTACACTTTTTTGATGTCTGATATACTTCCCTAACAGTCTACATTCGATAATTCAACATGACTTTAGTGAAAGAGGAGTTAGCCGGTTCTATTTTGTTGTTTTTCGTTATTTTTATCTATGAAATTATATGGTAAAATTGTATTTTTTTTTTATTTTCTAAAGACCTAAATAAATAAATTTCTTCGCAAATCTAAAACAGCAACAACATAAATCGACGTTTATGTTATCGATTAATCGAAATATAAATGTAGTTGCCGTTTAATTACCACAGTGAACGGCGTCAACAGTGAAAGCCGTAATATGGCAATTGGATGTGAAAGCGGTGATATTGGAATTTTTTGCTTCCGTTCCAATAAGAATGGTGGCAATATTAATAAAATATGTAGATTTAAACCTTTCAGAACACAGCATAATCTATTGTGAGTTCTGAAAATCTTTTAGAGAAACTAATATAAACATTTTTATTGGTTTAGTATTGTTATTCCCTTTGCATCATATATAAAAAATAACAATAAACTAGGAACGAAATTAACATATGACAAGAAGAATCAATTAGTTTTTCCTATTTCTTCGATGTCTTGAAGGAAAATTTGTTTATCGTAGATTCTTATAGTATGGGAACATACCATTTATTAAATCTAAAAAGGTTAATCTACTAAAGGATATTTTACAGGTGCTATTATTTGGCCTGTTCCCGTATTGCAAGAATCTACTCGATTTTACTATTTTCTTCGATATCATAAAGGAAAAAAGTGTTATCGTAGTAAAAAATAGTAGATTCTTGCAGTACGGGAACAGACCAATTGTCATATTTACTATGAATAAATTGTCATTCCGTTTACAATACCTTGATATAATCGTTAGTGACTCCATAAAGTATACATACACTTGATCAAAATAAAATTGTATGTTGATTTAATCGTGTCGTCTTTTTAAATCCCGAAAGAGCTTGCAATATTAAAGATGGAACTTTGAAATCAGGCTCATACATTGTTATTACTCCCAAGGTATCCGTTATTAAATATGGGATATATCGGTCGCCGTTTATGTATAGGCTCTACATCATGGTACCCTTCAATTTGCATTATTTTGCGGATTTCTGACAGATTATTCATTTGTATAAATGATGTAATTTTATATTTATTGGTTGATGAATATTCCTATCAAAATCGTCATTCGGAGTTATCAATTTCGTGGTTTCCAAATTATACGAGATTAAAACTATCGACACTTTTTGGCACATATTGGGCAGTATTTCAGCCGTAACTTTACCAATGTTGGGGTCAAAGTGCTCATACGTTAAAACATTACCATAAAAAGTCTAATGGTGTAAAATCGCATGATCTTTGTGGCCTGTTGATATCGCCATGTAATATATTCACTCCAATTATGTGGCATGTATCACCGTCTTGTTGAAACCACATATTCTCCACTTGGTATTTTTAAATAGCAGGCAAAGAAGCAAAGACATAAAAGTATAAAGATAGGACAATTGATACGTAAACAATTTTCAACAGATGGCTTTTCCTCTGTTGTTACGATATCATAACAACAGAGCAAACAATATTAAACGTTTTAAACGCTATATTGCAAGCTTATAAAATAAAAACATATTTTTTGAGTACAGATTTCTAATTTTATTTACATTTTATACACACATTATCGCGTATTTGCGTTTTTATTGTTAACATGCCTCTGTTATGCCTGACTCCCCCTGGATATTTTTTCATAAACTATTTTGTCAAAATGCATTTTGTCGAGTCTTTACGGTTTCTATGTCTTTGAAAGAAGTCGGTTATCATATGACAATAACCGTCGTTTTCGAAAAAGTAAATTACAATCACACAACCACCAAATGGACAGCCTAACAGTCAAAAAAGTTAGTTGCTCCATTCAAAGACGCATCTGCATCGAAGCATGGGACATCAACAAAATATATGTTCGATAGTTTCTTTTTCCTCTTCGTCCTTGCATTGATGACAATAATTCACCTGATTTTACTCCCCTTTTGAAAACAGAGATTTGATTCTGCAGTAATTTGTTATGGTCCCTACGTTTTCCTAATCTCTTTTCTGTTCATATAAATTAATGATTTAGATTTTGATGTTCAAGAATTGCCATTCAATATTGTTTTTAATTTCTTAATTTCTTCTTAAAAAAGAAGACCGATTGTCTGCGATCTATATCAAGCAAAATTGTCTGATACTTTCACTTTGTGTCACTACGACCTGAAAGCCAACAAAGTCTAACAAAAAGCATATCCCGCAGAGCAGATTTATACTAATTAACTTCCCAAACAGCCTTGACTAACTCTGGTGCTTTGTATGAGATCTTAATTGAAAGTTCGTCAAAGAAACCTCCTGTATCTGTGCCTTCTTCCATATTTGTTCAGTCCATGACACAATAATGTGATGTATGAAAACAAAAACCTTTGTTTTTGTCTCGATCATCTGTCAAATTTTTCTTTATAATATTTTACATGGTTGACAATTGGTCTGTTCCAGTACTTTTTTAATAGTAAAGCTTGTAAAAGGGAAACATTTCAAAAACGTTCTCAGTACAAAATAATTTGAAAAGTTCGAGAACGCAAATCTAGTAAATATGCCTACATTAGATGGCAATACTTCAAAATCAACATAACAGCCAATCAGAAGTAGGCATTCCTGTTTACCATTTTTACTTGACCAAATTTCTCGAGTAAAAAGTTTACAAAAAGAACGCCATTTTGTTGTGTGCTCTCTTAAATGTTATTCAATGTTTACCAGTTTTGTGGGTTCAGGAACGGGTTTCGAGTAAAAAGTTGCAAAACTTGTAAAATTAGTAGATTCTTTTAGGTTCTGGAACGGAACTAATATTGCACATCGAATTCAAGTAGAAATTACGCACTTTGACCGTTAATCAAGAAATCAGCTGCTCTAAATGGACTATCTACTCATTGTGCCATGGTTCAGTCTGTATATATTGATAGACCATCAGGAGGAAGCTCAGGATTCTTCGGGGTTTTGCTATTTTAAATTCATCAACATTAAGGTATGGGGATACTTAAATTGTGTCTATTGTGACAGAGTTCGTAATCACTTGTCAAGTTTTGGACATTTGAGTGCCCATAATATGAAGTTCGCCATATCCCTATATCCATCATCATAAATGGGCTGTTGGTTGCCTGAAAAGGAGTTACGTATAAACTCCTGAATATTTATTATAGTATTCAGATCAGCTGAGGAGTGCTTTTAGGAGCGCCGGATAAATGTATTGCTGCCGATTTTTGTCCACTACTTATTTCGGACAACAGCGTTCTCTTCCTCAGTGCCTCCCATCAGACAAAATATCCACCATAGGACAACTGCATCATATAGCCAATGTACGATGAACGGTGACAGTCACCAGTTCTTCCCTATTGAGTCGTTGCAAGAATACAGAGTTATCAGACTTTCTTTCCTCTACGTTCCTTTTCCACGTTAAAACTAATGAGTAAATACAGAAATGCCATTGAATTTATATTTCAGGTCTCGTCTGACCTTTGAAAATAGTTTTTGATTTAAACGCTGCTTTTGTTTCTTTAAACAGTCTACCATATGATCACATACTTTCCGTTATTATCTAAACGTTGTCATACATCGCAAATTATCGATTACTTATCGATATATCGTTTAGCCACAAATCAAACTATAGAACCCTTGATATTTGTTGTCAGTAGAACAGTCAAAGGCAACGGAGGAAGAGGAAACACATTGATTGGGAGTGCTTCTTCTCGGCATCTCGAACAAAAACAAGTGGAATTTCGTCAGTTGCTGTTTGTTCATCATCACCAATTAGCCGGGCTCCAAAACCAAACTGTTTTCCATCCAAAATACTATGCTGAGCTTAACATAATAATAAGACACACATAAAACAACATGGAGCAACAACAACAGGTGCTTAAGCGTTTACAACGCATATTCGAAGTATTTCTACAGGAAAATTTTACCCCCACAAATAATGTTTATTTTGAAAAGCTCATAACACACTTATCGGAGAAAGGTAAGCAGCCAACAAGAAGAAGACGAAGATCGCAAGTTGTTTTTGTATTTTGGCGTATTGTTGTAATGTCTGTATTTAAATTTGATTCTAGATAATCTATTTGTGTTGCAAGCTCCGTTCGCCATCGAATGGGTGGACAAGTGTGTGGCCATACTGAACGAGGATTTCAGTAAAATTAATACCAAAGTAACATCGTTTATGTTCAACTTTTGCAGTATCATGTTGAGAAATGAATGGGTGCTGGTAATGGTGCGCGAGCGGCAGATAATGGACAAGTAAGTGTGTGCGATTGCTTGTAAGATAACAAACAGAAATCCTTATGTTCATTTGTTTGCTTTCAGAGTTCTTCACATCATTGAGAGCAACAAGACGCGCTTCAATCCATCGATTAAGCTGGGCTGTATACGACTGATGGCATCGATATCACGTTACAGTCTGGGTATGGCTTACATTGCCAGCAAGAAATGTTGGCAATATCTGCTGGAGCTCTGTAATCGTGATCATACCTTGTATGTGGTTCGAGAAGCCCGCCAATTACTTTACGAAATAATCTATACATTTTCCGCTAAGGCCAAAGATGAAAATGTCGTCCGGGAAATATTACATGAAATTTTAAAACCCATACAGGAAAATGTTTTCAAAGTGGGTAGTGAATCGATTATGGTTAATGTTGATGATTCCGAGTTGCAGCATAAAATGTCTTCAACATTGGATTTGTTGTCGTATTTATTCGAACAGACCTTGGAATCGGATGAGAAAACAAACATAGCCAACTTATGCCAAACCTATTACAATTTGGAATTGACCATATGGAAATTGGTGGAAATGACTCAGAACACACACTTCCTTTACAAAATTCTCAATACCTTGACAAGTCTTAACTTTGCCACTCTCGTTCAGGATCAGTGGGATGATGGTATTATAACACCGGAAAATTTCAATCGTTTTGGTGTGAATTTTTACAATACAATGAAATTTTGTGTTTCGCGGCACCAGCTGCGGAGTTTCATTAAAATTGCCGAACTATATCATGTACTATGGAAAAAGTTGGGCACTCGTGCACCCTCCGAAATACAAATTGAAACGGAACGGGTGAAATTTGAAAATCAGCTGATCACTTTGCAACTAATGCCGCTACTCTTTCTGCTGCGATACGGTAGCCTTAGTAAAGAGGAACTCTTCGATAATTACCTCATGAAGCTATTTGAAATATCCTGTGAACACACGCTGCGTATTTGTTATCGTTTTCGTGATGCCATAATACCTTCGGAAAATTCTTCACTGCTAGCTGTTGCCGATTTGGCCTATAAGGCAATACATGGCATATTGGCAATGCAAAATATTTTGGAACGTGAACAGGCCATATTGGTGTTTCAGGCAATGATATATGCCATGAAAGAGTTTATAAGTGAATCGAATACAATGTATAGTGAAGATCGCAAAATCGAATTTGGTAGTCCACCAATGTCCGATACATTTCGTAATTGGGTTGGCCTAGAATTTATGGTCACCATACCGAATGTGTTGAATGCCATACTGAGTGGTCTGCAGACACTCATCAAACGTTATCGAATATCATGGAAGGAGAGCATCGAAACAACATGTGTCGTTAATATGGTAGCTGTGATATTGGAAAAGCCAAATTTAACGCAGGCGGTAAGTGCGAAAGTGATATTAAATTTGAAATTTTAGTTGAAAAGGCGAGACAGTTTTTCCAGATATTTTAGGATTTAAAAAATTTTAGATTTGGATTTTTTAAAGATATTATTTTTTTCCAAATTTTTTTTTTTTAAGAATTTTAAAAAATATTTTTTTCAGAGACGTGAATTTTTTTTCAAATATTTTTTGATATTTTATTATTATGATATTTTAATATTGAAAAATTTGTATCTTCATTTCAATTTCAGTCTACTGTTCAAGCTCTGAAGCTGGTTCAACTTTCCATAGAACATTTCCTATCGCCCAATATGGCCTTGTTGGTGGATAATCTCCAGGGAAGCGGTTTGGTATGTTTGGGTCCAATTATTGTTAAACGATTTCATGACATTTCCTGGGAGGTGAGAGACAGTACCTTGGAGCTGACAACATCCATTGCAAGCATTTCAAGAGTTAGTAAGTATTATGTTATTGAAAAAAAACACACTTCGAAAAAAATAATGGCTAAGATTTTTTCTATGGAAGAAGTTCGTAACCTGAGGATTTTTTAAAATCAAACCTCAGGATTCCATATGAAAGAAAATCCCACGGTCCGTAGGAATGATTTTTGTCCATAGAAAAAAGTGGTCCTCTGGATTTTTTTTGTGAAAAATAGAACTGCAGAACCCTATGTAGGACCACAGAAACCTACGGAAACAAATTGTGTCATTAGGAAACTTTGGCTTTTTAAAAAACAATCGGACCTGAGTATGGTAGATGATCGATTAAAAAAAATATATCTCATAGAGCTTAGATATTATTATTTTTCTATAAAAAATGTCCATACCCTGTATCCTGAATATTAGAAAATTGGGGCACAGAACTCGAAATTTTTTTTTTTCTATGTTCAGGACCCTTTTTCAATAATAAATCGGTACTTAGGAACCAAAGGAGTTTTTTTAAAGTCCGTCTTCAGGGCCTATAAAATCCAAACTCAAAATAACGAGGAATTTCAATAGAAAAATCGGTGCTCAAGGCCGTATTTTTTTCTAAAAAACTGCCTTCAATTGTCTAAAAAAATTAGGTCTCAATGACGCGAGCAAATGTCCTTCTGAGGGACTTCGCTCCTCGGTGCACTGGAGGTCTAAGAGGTCCGTATAGGTTTTAGGGTGCTCTATAAATGTTCGTGTAGATATTGAGGAGCTCTATAGAGATCCGCTTAGGTATTGAGCACCACTATAGAGGTCTGTGTAGGTATTAAGGAACTCTATAGAGCTTCGAATAGGCATTGAGAAACATTATAGAGGTCCGTATATATATATATTGAGAAGCTCTATTGTGGTCAGTCTAGTGTTGTGGAGCTCTAAGAGGTGCGTGTAGGTATTGTGGTGCTCTATAGAGGTTCGTGTAGGTATAGCGGAGCTCCATAGAGGACCGCGTAGGCATTGAGTAGCTCTATAACGATCCGTTCGGCTACTGAGGACCTCTATAGAGTTCTGAGTAGGTATTAAGGAGCTCTATACAGGTCCGTTTAGTATGTACTAAAGGGCTCTATAGGTAACCTTTTTATGCCCTGAGGAGAGAGGTCCGCGTATGTATGGAGGAGCTCTATAATGGCCCGTTTAGGTACTGAGATGTTCTGTAGAAGTCCGTGTTGGTATGAGGAGCACTATAGTGGCCCGTGGTACTGAGTAGGTAGGTGCTGAGGACCTCCATTGGGGTGTTTATATGTACCGAATGGCTCTTTAGATACCTTTTATGTATTGAGGAGCTCCACATAGATCTCCGTGTAGTTATAGAGGAGCTCTATATAAGTTTGTATATGTACCGCGGGCACCATTTTAAATTTCTTAAAAACGAAGTGAGGCACCAGCGAAATTCTCATAAATATTCTTCTACAGAAAAATCGGATCTCAGTGACTTGAGGAACTGTTTTTTTTTTAAGGAATAATAAATCGGCCCTCGGGACACTAAAGAGTTCGTGCTACAGAAATGTTCTACTTTCCATGACGAATTTATTTTCTATAGAAATTTTTCGGGAATTTTGTTTTTTCGATTACCAATTTTTTCCACAAAAGAAACCCTTTGGTTCTTGGGTAAGAATGTGTGTTCTATTTAATTTATTTTTCTTTCAGAATTTCCAGCGTTCCAAAATTTCCTCTATGAAGCCAAAATGTGCCCTATAATTTTGCAAATGGCCAAGCATGACCAGGAGGCCTATGTCAGGGCATCGGCGCTAAAATGTCTTTCCAAAATGGCCATGATAAATGTCATTTGGGAAAATGATTTAAACAATACCGATTTGATTGTGAGTTCTATGGAATTATATCCGAAATATTTTATACTAAATACCCCTTCCCTTGCAGGAACATTTGTTATTTGTTTTATATAATGAAAGTGAGGGCATTGTGCGGAAGGAGGCTGTCAAAACCTTGGCCGTTATATATGACAATCGCAAAATACCACCACAATATATGGATACCTTCTATTCGACCCTAACACATTGCCTCATCTCCGATCTACATTGGGAGGTAAAAGTCGAGGTACTGCGTGTCTGGGATTTGGAATTGAAGAAACAATTCACGAATCAAGGCATGATTGATGGCACATTTCCGACAGTGACCTTTTCCAAAGAATATAAAAAAATCGTTACCCTCAACGAAAAAGAGATTAAATTGCGGATCATAAAAGTTTTCCATGAGCTGTCACAGCGGGGCTGCTTGGATGTTATGTTGAAGTGCCTGCAGGAAGATTGTGATTTGGAGGTGTTGAAAACGGCTGTATGCATTGTCCACAATCTGCTGGAACAGCTAAAGAAATATAATTTCGAATCGATGATTGATGAAATGGAAAAATCACCGAATTCAAGTTCCACAAATAGCAGTGCCAAAAATACCCCCGCTACAAGTCCGATGCCTTCGAGCGTTCAACAAGATTTTGAGTTAAATAAATTTGGTTTTTGTGAAACCAATAATAATAGCAAATTTATTGCCCAACCATCTGCACCCACTGTAACAACAGCACAATCATCACCTCACCCACATCCCCCATCCTCGCTCGAACAAACCCCTCTCAATTCCGAAGAAGCAATCGATTATATTTTACAATCGCAGGATATCAATTTACTGGTCGCACAATATGAACAAAAAATGGAACTAATGAATAGCGGAGTACCCATTGAACCACCCGTATCGAAAATCGATACAAATCTATATAAGGCCTATACAACGGTGGGCGTTATAGAATTTATGCGTGCCATAAAAAGTTTAGACTTAGATATGCTATTGAAAAATCACAACGATTGGCTGTTGGGCTCCGAGAGCTTTATATCATTGTTAGATGACATAATTGTGGCCATCAAATGCGAAGATGATTCATTGTTCGCTGATTGTTATTAAAAGTACTGGAAACGAGTGTTTGAAATATATGTATATATTTTTTATATATACATACTACGTACACATATTATTTACTATAATATACGTTATTTTTTGTATAGTTTATACGGAAACATTATTAAATTGTATACTATGTATGATTTTTAAATAAAGTGAAATAATTTTTAAAATATGCCATAAGCTGTTGGGGAATTTTAATTTTAAGAGAGAAATTTGAAGTGAAAGGATTCATGAAGAAAAAATTGATCTCACAACCTTGAGGGACTTTTTTAAAAGAAACATCAGATAAACCTCTATAGAGGTTTATATAGTTGTTTACGAACTGTTTAGAGGTCCATGCAGCTATTGAGGAGCTCTATAAAGGTTCGAATAGGCATTGTGGTGCTCTATAGAGGTTCGTGAAGATATTGTGGTGCTCTATAGAGGTTCGTGTACGTATTGAGGTGCTCTTTACAGGTCCGTTTAGGTGCCGAGAGGTTTTATAGAGGTCCATGTTGATATGATGAGCATTATAGAGGTCCGTGTAGGTACTGAGGAATATTCAATATAAGATTGAGGAGCTCTATAGAGGTACGTGTAGGCACAGCCAACAGAGGTCTTTGAATGTGATGAAGAGCTCTGCTAATTTCGTGTAGGTACCATGGGAGCTATATTTTAACGGATTTCACGAAACTTAACACACTTCATCCTGGACTTAATTCAGTTCGCTATGCAAATCGAAAGATATGTGGGGACTTAGGTGCATCATTTGAATAAAATCGCATGTAAAAATATATATGGGAGCTATATCTAAATCTGAACCAGAACAAGTCAAGTTTAGCGGCTCCACTCGAATCATTTTGAAATTTTCCATAAGTAGTCCTCCTTGAGCTGATTACAGTGATATACATTTTATGTGGGGGAAATGCATACTTCTCGAGATATGAGCCATATTTTGTTTAAAACAGACGTTTTACTATTGCCACCAAGGCTATGTTAATTTACTTACTTCTAGTTGTTTAAAATTTCCGAACTTTGATATCTGTTAAGGCTCATTGTTCGAATCAAAAATGAAATATGTTTCTCCATGAAGAATCTCATATTTTCAAAATAGATCTTGTTCACGATCGGTTACAGTTTGAAAACAAATGGCACATAAACTAATCATTCACAATAGGCATTCTCCAATAATTTTCAATAATAGGTATGTTCGCTTACTACAAATAAAGCCTACTAAAAAGTTCACCTAGGAGGGGAAAACTGATGTTTTTAAATTGGACTTTTAATATTTTTGAGAACTTTACTTGTTTTTTTTTCTACAAATTGCTTCCACTACTAGGATGTTTGTTATTGAAATTTGGATACATCGATCCACATTTTGGTTTGGTATAGACCTCTCATAGCGTCACTCCCCAATATTTAGTATTTTGGGCACGTTTTTCAATCGTATTGGCTGTAATTTCATATTTTGGATTCTCATTGAACTGAAAATTACCATACCAAAATTGATCATTAATATTTTTCAGCAAATCGGCTGCTGCTCTTTACGATACTCTTTTGAATTTCTTCCCCTTTGTAACTTTTCTTTTATGGGTCACTATAAATTTGCGATGATTTTTTAAAGAATATTTTACAATAGCCTTCAATTTTTTTAAATAATTTTTAAAGAGTCTGAATTACCTCTATATAAAATCGATCGGATTTTAAGTCTTTTGAACTTTGGAATTTTTCAAAAATATTATTATAGAGTCTGAATTGCCTTCATATAAAATCGATCGATTCGATTTTAGGTATTTTGAATGTCCGCATAGTAGGGTGGAGGGTTTTAAAACATAACGACATTTACTTGTTCTAGAATATGTGTATACTGTCACAATAGGCGTGATTTTTTTTCAAAAAAAAGTCTGAACAGGTGAAGATTTTTGTAAGACAATTTTACAGTGGCCCATTATTAGTGTAAATTTCTTGTGGTGCCTTTTTTCAAAGTTCAAATTGCTTTTTAGTTGATTTTTCTGGGCATACAAGGTAGACCGATATTCAGGACGTTGATGAATTATTTTTTATAGAAAATAACAGGACACTGAGGAATATTCTTCTATAAAGAAAAAAAAATCGGAATAGGAATTGATAATTTTTTCAAAAAAAAAGTGGCCATGGCCTTATGTTTTTTATAAGAAAAAATTGACTTTCAGGACCTGAGGATTTTTTTCTAAAGGAAATAATATATAGGCCTTTCTTTAAAAATATTTTACAGTAACGCAAAATGAGTTTAATTTTCTTAAAATATTTTATATATAAAATAGTATATTTTTTTTCAAAACATTATATTATTATATTATATAGTCCAAGGTAATTTTTCTTCACATGCCTACAAAAATACTTTTATAGCTTTTAAATAGGTGATTTTTAAATATTTTACAGAGGGTCATTATGAGTGTAAATTTCTGAAAATATTTTTATATATTTTTTATATTAGCGATTTTTTCGTCTATAAATGTAAAAAGTTTTTGAGTACGTGAACAGACCTATTAATTTCCAATAGTCATTAATTTTTTTTAATAACTTCATTCTAATATTTTCTTTAATAACAATGAAATACCCACTTCAAATTAATCCCCATCTGGCCACATTCATTCACAAATCATTCACAATAACACCGACTGTCATGTGTTGTTTGTGCTCATTTGTTTTTCACACTCCCTCTCTCTCTCGCGCACTCCACTCATTCACAGACATGTTGGTGATTTTTGCTCAATGCAGTTTTCAATTATAACAGAGACGGTCGTCATATTTGTATAGTCGGACGCGGACGGTTGACGGGTATATTTTTCATTCGGTGTGTGAAGCACAAAAAAGATTTTCCGATTGAAGAAAATGAAAAGAAAAAACCACTAAACTAGTGCAAATTTGAATGATTGTCTAATAGAGTTTGGCGTTTTTATTTTTTCTAAATGAAAGTTCAATGTTTTTGAAATAAAAGAAGGAAGAAAAATATCCATCCAAAATGAAATAACGAATACGAAAAATTGTCAAAGGAAGTGAAAAAAGGAGCAAAAAATGTGTTTGTGTTCTTTGTGATTTTTAATTTATGGGAGTGGAAGGAAAAAAATTGCATTTTTCTTGAAGTAGTGAAGTGAAAGAAGAAGAAGGAAGAAAAAAATATTTGTATGTTTCATTGCGTAGAAGATATAGTTTTTTTTTTGTGTAAATGTTCCCAAATGTTTTGCGGGGAGTATTGCGGTGGAGTGTTGTGTGTATGTGAGTGAGAGTGTTTGCTGTATGAAAGAAATCCAAGGCAGCAGCAGCAGCGACGGAGACGACAACAACAACACCATCGGAAAAGGTGGAAAATAATACAACAACAACATAAAAGTCGTCCGTCCACAGCAAGCAAAAGTGTGTGGGGTGTTTTTGGGCTCTGCCTGTCTGCCAAGCTACAGCCTTTGCAACACAACCGCCGTCGTTTGTATAGACCAAGGAAAAAAAGACGGCAAAGGAGCGAGCCACAAGGAATTAAATTTGCCAAACCTTAAAAACCAAGAAAATCTGTGGATAATAAAACTTGTTTGGTTCCCTTGCCAGAGAAAAAAAAAACAACAAAATAACAATTTTTTTAAATAATTTTTATATGGAATACAAAATAAGAACAAAAACACCAACAAAATGAGTTCGAGTTGTGAAAGGTATGTATATATCCAGCCAGCAAAATAGATTGTGCCTAGCTTGCATTTTTCCTCGCCTCTACAATATCTTCTAGTGCTTATTTTTTTGTGGAGTCCGGGTTATCCGGTCTGGGTGTGTGTTTTGCATTTTTTTTTGTTAAATGAAGTTTTTCTTCATGTCGGTTGTGTTTCTTTAAGTCATTGGCAGAGACTCCGGGCTAATTGTCTGCCAAACAACAACAACAGTAACAATTGTTGTTGTTTTTTTATTGCTTTAATTAATAAGTTGTTGGTTATTTGTTGTTGTGGTACCCCCAACAAGAAAAAATTACTATGATGGTGGTTTAATGGTTTTATTTGTTGTTTTAAGCAACATTCGCTGTGGTGACCCAACTAAAAGCAATAGTCAATAATTAATTACAGTGTTTTGTTTTTGTTGTTTTAAATTTTTTTTAACTAGGTCATTTCTTTCATGTAATGCAATATTTCATTTTTTGCAAAATCAACAACAAATTCATTCATCACTTTGTTACCATTTGTTTTTGCTGTTGTACGATGGCTTTTGTCCAAAATAAAAAATATATTCTTCCAAAAATTTATTCCTCTTTTATATTCCATTTATCCTCCCCACAACAAAAAACACCCACCCAATAACCGTTTGCTCTCTTTCCTAATTTAATTCATACAAGTTTTCTCGCCGCTCTCTCATTCGGCAAAATGTTGCATTTTGTTGTGTCAGTGGCGGCGTTAAATGTCGCCGCTGCTGCCGCCTCCGTCGCCGCCACAAAAGCGCCACCATTTATGTGTTTAGCGGAGTTAATAAATGCAATTTTAATTGTTTGGAAAGAGTTTTCCTGCTTTGACAGGCCGACAGACAGACAGTCAAACGAGAATACTTCCTTGTTTCGGAGAGAGCTTAAAACTGTCACTCACAGACTGATGAGTGAGTGTCACACTCAGAGATTCACACATTGTGCTGATTTGTTTGCTGGGTCTCTCTCTCTCCATAGTTTTGCGCGCTCTCTCTATCTCCCTCATTGAATTGATTTTCCCCCAAACAGAACACAACAGATGTAAATGAGTCACAATAAACAAGGACAAACGGCTATTGTGAATGATAATTTGATGTTTAGTGGCAAAACGACAAATAAATGTGAGAGTTTATGGATTTTTAAAGAAATAAATAAATTTAATAACAAAAACAAAATAAATATTTGGTTTTTAATATTAAAAATGATTTATTTTCTGTGTTTGCTTACATTTTATTCTGTGAGTTTGCTGTTTTATATTTGCAAATTCACAATGGTGTCATCATATGACCATCACATAGTCCCAGCCTAGTCAGTCCCAGCCTGGCAGTAATAA